TTTTTTTTTTTTTTTCTTTAAGGGGAGAAATCCTATCTTTCCTTTTGAGTGCCATATCCTAGTTTCCTAAAATAGGTTGTGGCACACAGTAGCTATCAAATGTTTGTCTGTCAAGCAGAGGAATACATGAATATTGTGATGGGAAAATCAAAGAGCCAAAAGTGAAAAATGACTATGGAGCAATTTTTTTGGAGGAGGACGGTAGCATTCAATGCTGAGAAGTTTGATACCCAAACGGGCCTGGTGTATGCTAGGTATATGCTCCACCTCTGAGCTATACCTCCAGCCCTTTTTATTTTAATACAAGTTGCCTGTGCTGACCTTGAATTTGCTATCCTCTTTCCTCATCCTCTGGAGTAGCTGGGGTTATAGAAGTGGACATGCTGGGTTCTACTGTTTTTTTTTTTTTTAGTATTTATTTTTTAGTTTTCTGCGGACACAACATCTTTGTTTGTATGTGGTGCTGAGGATCGAACTCGGGCCGCACGCATGCCAGGCAAGCGCTCTACCGCTTGAGCCACATCCCCAACCCCTCTACTGTTCTTTTTACTAGAGGTTTTTCACATCATTACCTATTACTATTACATTTTTAAAATCCTTGTAGCTAGGCATGGTGGCGTACGCCTGTAATCCCAGCAGTTCAGGAGGCTGAGGCAGGAGGATTGCAAGTTCAAAGCCTGCCTCAGCAATTTAGTGAGGCTCTCAGAAATTTAGTGAGACCCTGTCTCTAAATTAAAAATAAAAAGGGCTGGGAGTGTGGCTCAGTGGTTAAGCACTCTGGGTTCAATCCTTGATTACCGCTCCCCCTCCCCCAAATAATTTCTTATAAAGTCCTAATTATTAGTTCAGGTGATTGATTTCATTCTCTTTATATACTTCAAAGCAGTACTATTCAGTAGAAATAGAACATAAACTACAAGTATGAGCCACATAGGTATGTTTAAATTTTCTAATAACTACARAAAAGTCAAACAAATTCAATTAATTTTAATGCTATATTTAACTCAACATATCTCAAATATTTAAACATATAATCAGTGTAAAAAAKTTTAGACTATATTTTGGGGGTACTAAATGTTTGAAATCTAGGATATATATTTATACCTATCTTAATTTGGACTATCACCCAGATTCTGGACTATGAGGTTAGTGGTCAAAGTATTACTTCCTGTCAGGAAAGAAAATTGAGCTGGACCAAATCTATCTTTTGCTTTCAATACTCCTTTCTGCAATGGTAACACATTGTTTTTCAAGGCTCTGCTGCCCTCTRCTACAGGAAGTGAACTAAGATGTTGGGTGTGGTGTCCATGCACACCTGTAATCTCTACTCTAGGCACTGAGGCAGAAGATTTTAAGTTCCAGGACAGCCTCAGCAACTTAGCAAGACCCTGTCTCAAAATAGAAAGGGCTGAGAATGTAGCTCAGTGTTAGAGTGCTTGAGTAGCATGCACAAAGCCCTGGGTTCAATCCCCGATAGGAAAAAGAAAGAAAGGGAAAGGAGAGAGGGAAGAAGGGCAGTAATATGGGTTGCTTTTATTCTGAATTGCAACTTAAAAAGTGAATTAGTAATTTTAGGCATAATGTTTTTCACTTATAAATCTCTCTCTCTCTCTCTCTCTCTCTCTCAGTGGAGATATGGCATTTTAAAATTTTATATATCTGTTATTTCTGTGTAGCACTTAAATTAGATTTGATAGGTTATTTTATATAAATCCTTTTAAAAATGGGCTTTTGTAGTGTTTTTTGTTTGCATTTCTGGTGTTGAGGATTGAACCCAGGGGTGCTTTTTCTTTTTTCTTACGAGAAGACAGTTCTTACTAAGTTGCCTAGGCTGGCCTCACATTTGCTGTCCTCTCACCTTATCCTCCTGAATCATTGGGATTACAGGTGTGCAGCACTGCACCTGGCTGTAGTGTTTTAAAATGATATTAATAAAAGACTGTAAATCATGTTTTCCATACAAATGGTGATTACTGTTATTCATCTTTGCAGATTTTAAAAGACATAGCCAATAGATACCATATGATGAGAGGTTCCAAAATACATTTTGTGCCTGGCTGGGATTGTCACGGGTTGCCCATTGAAATAAAAGTGTTATCAGAACTTGGTGGGAAAGCTCAGAATCTTTCAGCCATGGAAATTAGAGAAAAAGGTAAATAATCTCAATTTCTGCTTTAAAATAATTAAAATGATATTTATAAACACTGAGGCACTTTGAAAACCTCAGTGCTTTACCAAGAGAACTTTCATTTTGTTTTGGTTATAATGAGATTTGTGGGGAACTATATTCTGTGTCACAAAAACCTCAGATTTTGTTTRATTGATTTTTGTGAAACTTTCTCTGTAGAGATTGAAGAAAAGATTTTGTGATCTTGCCCAAACTGCATTATTCAGCTGTTTAGTGATCATGTCTTATTAAATTAATGTTTTGGTCAATTTTTTTAAAAACTTTCCTGGGTAGGGCTTGTGACCTGTTTCAGGTCCTAAGACAGAAGTAGATTTTAAAATACATATATTTTGAATTATTCTTCTATTTGACCCTTTCCTTTGGCCAGAGAGGAATCTTTTCTTGTATACTGTTGTTTATTTGGATATGATTATGAAGATTATTTTACTACTCTGTGAAGCATGTTATTGTTTACTTAGATTTGATATACTGTTTATATGTGTGTGTGTATATAATGAAATAAAATTATTCCCTTTTTTATTTTTTAATACCTTTATTTTATTTATTTATTTTTATGTGGTGCTAAGGATTGAACTCAGCACCTCAAATGTGCTAAGTGAGCGCTCTACCGCTGAGCCACAACCCTAGCCCCTCCCTTTTTCTTAAATTAAGAAATAATGAATACTTTTACCGTTTTCTAGAGGTCACTATATGTAGTCTGGAAAATACAGGAAACAGTAATAAAATTTTAATTTTTGGAACTCCAGTTAATTTTAGAACTTGTATCTTTGAGCTTCTTCAAATAATTTTCCTGTAAGAATTTTTTTTTTATTCTAAACTATATAACATCTGCATTTAGAGAGCCACATGCTTAAGAATTATAATTCACTGGTTTTTCAAAAGCTTTTTCTTGTCCTTTTTTTTTTTTTTTTTTTTTCCTTTTAGCTAGGTCATTTGCGAAAGCAGCCATTGAGAAACAGAAATCAGCATTTATTCGTTGGGGAATAATGGCAGATTGGGATAATTGCTACTATACATTTGATAAAAACTATGAGGCCAAACAGTTGAGAATTTTTTACCAAATGTATGATAAGGTAATGAAGTATTTTTTTTCTTTCAGTGTATTAAAAATATATATTACAGAATTTCAGCATTAGTATAATATCTTTGTCTTTTGTAGGGTTTGGTTTATCGCTCTTACAAACCTGTGTTTTGGTCTCCCTCATCAAGGTATACATGTGTTCTTTCATAATTAAAGGGGATGAATTTGTGAAGCTTCCAAATATTCATGTTTAACTTTTTTAAATCTTAGGACTGCTTTGGCTGAAGCAGAACTTGAATATAATCCTGAGCACGTCAGTCGTTCAATATATGTAAAATTCCCTCTCTTGAAACCACCTCCTAAATTGGCATCTCTTATAAGTAAGATTTCTTCATTGATTTAATTTATATAGAATGATAAGTTATGAAATAATAATATTTGCTAACATATTTACAACTTTATTGTCGCAGGTGATTCATCTCCTGTTAGTTTTTTAGTCTGGACCACCCAGCCTTGGACAATTCCAGCCAATCAGGCTATTTGCTATATGCCAGAGTCAAAGTGGGTATATTGCAGTTTTTGTTATCCACAAGTAGGATTCATTCTGTCATTAAAATTATGTTAAATTTATTTTATCCTCATTGTCCTCTTAAAATCTAGTGAATTATAATTCATTTATTATGTTCATATAGATTTTGTGAAGCTTTAGGAGATTCCTTTTRAGACCATATTTCCAGCTTTTTTTGGAAAACAAAACATTTATAAAGTATGRAGTATCTTGAAAATAATGGTTTTTAATCTTGAAATCCATTATTCTAAACTGATATTAGAAATTAAAATGTTATCAGTGCTGGGTTTTTTTTTCCTTCATTATTAGTAATTTTTTTCTAAAATTCTCTGTTAGGTATGCTGTTGTGAAATGTTCCACTTCTGGAGACCTCTACATACTGGCTGCAGATAAAGTATCATCTGTTGCTTCTACTTTGGAAACAACATTTGAGGTTATTTCAACATTTTCAGGTGAAAATTTATAGATATTCTGACCATCACACTAATCAAAATATTGGGTTGATTTGAGCTCASTACTTTTTTGGACATTCCTCATCATGCATTGAAATAAATGTGACTTCTGCATTTTTAGAAGATAGTTTATACTGATTATGTGTTAGATATTAGTACCCATTATTCTCTGAATWTTCCTAGCTAAATAATAAAGTCTATATTCATCAGTTCAGATGTAAGCTGATTAGAAGAATAAGCACCTTAACAAAATTAAAGGGCTTTATAACAAAGGCAGGAAGGGAGCTACAGAATGTGTAAGACCATTCAATTCTTTTTGGTGCAAAGATAAGTCAGAGRACCCTGAATGTTCTTTACTCCATACCTTTTCTCAATCTTTTTAAAGTATAGACAATATTATAGACTTCACTGACAAGGTAGATATTACCACAGATGATGAAAAATTACAAGATTTTTGAAAGTATTAAGGTCAAATGTAGAGATCATTTGTCTAGTTTGCAAAAGTATTTCAAATTTTTACTTTGCAGAGATTTTTTGGGTTGCCATTTGAGTTACTACATGGCATAGTATTATATATCCATCTTGTTCCTGACAAAATAAGTATTAAAATAGTAGGCATGTTGAACAGCTTAAATAGAATAATTTGTGTTGGATAATTTCTTTCCAAGAAAATATGAACTATTCTTAATAATTACTTTGAGGTTTTTATTTGGAGGGGGGTGTTTGTGGGTAATATTAAGTAGTGCATACAACAGTGTAGGCATAAACTTCATTAAATTTGCTTTTCCCAAGCCTCTGATTATCATAGTAAAAGTACCTAAATAGGATAGCATAAGGTCATCGGCTGGTCTTATGAAACTAACTTATAGAAAGGAATCAAAGTGATGACTAGAACAGATTTCTCTAGAAATTAGTGTTAACAGTTTCTTTAGTATCATTATGGATTATTTGGAAGAAATGCATCCTGAAGTATTAAAGTTTGCAAATGATTTTTCTGGGAATAAAATACCAAGCCAGCCAAGTTGAACTGGAAGGAGAGCTTATGATTTTTCCCCCCAGAAAGAGTGTTTTATTGTCATTAATTTTAAGGGAATAAACCTTTTAGTATAATAATAGGTACTGTTTTACTCAAAATGAAGTTAAACAACAGATTATTAAAAGATTTTATTGTTCTTTTAGTGGTGTCAATGGATTACATAGTTTTGGCTACTATATGGTAGGAAAAAAACATCATGAAAGGTGGAGAAATTTCTCTATAGGGATAGATTTTTTTTTAAAGTTATTATTGCCGGGCACAYTGGTGCATGCCTGTAATCCTAGTGACTTGGGAGGCTAAGGCAARAGGATTATAATTTGTAACCCAGCCTCAGCATGTAGACAAGAACCCAACTCATAAAAAGGGAAGGAGTGTGCTTGGTCATAAAACATCCCTGGGCTTAATTCCCAATTAAAAAAAAAAAAAAGTAAGGGGGCTGGGGATGTGGCTCAAGCGGTAGCGCGCTTCCCTGGCATGCGTGCGGCCCGGGTTTGATCCTCAGCACCACATACAAACAAAGATGTTGTGTCCTCAGGAAAAAAGAAAAAAAAAAAAATTAAAAAAAAAAGTATATTTAGTTGGAAATGAAGAATTACTTGTGGGAAAGATCTGGGAAGTAAGGGTCATTGAAGTTTCATTAACTTTGAAAGAGTAGACTTTGAAATGAACAGACTTATTCAGTAGAACTAAGTTATCAATCCTTTTGGTAAATCTGTTATTTTTAGAACATATAAAAGAGATTAGATTATGGAACTTAGACAGTAAAGGTATAGAAAATTAATAGATGATGAGTATGGGCTTTTTGTTCTTTTTTGTGGTGCTGGGATTGAACTCAGGGCCTCATGCATGCTATGCAAGCCCTCTACCACTGAGCTACGTTTCCATCCCTATGATATATTATTAAGGGAAGCTAGACTTATATAGAACATCAAAGTTGTAGTTAGACTTACCTTGAAATTTGGGTCTAATCATTTAGAAATCATGTGATCTCAGACATATCGTGTATGTTTTCTGAAATTATTTTCTCATTTGAAAATTGAGCATAGTATTACCTATTTTGTAGTAGTATTGTGAAGAAGTTGCTTACTGGGTGCCCAGTGACTATCATGTATTATTTATAATCTTTTACCTTTTTAGAGCAACATTAGGAAAGCAAYAGCAATGGTTTTCCACAGAGACAGTGTCAGAACAGGTCATCTATCTGTTGATCTAGAATTTCTTTTTCTTACAAAATTTACATAATTTTATATAACTTTGAGAAATTTCCTTGGACTCTTTTGAGTACCTGTTATAATAGGTAACAATAGATAAAATTGCTAAAATATTTGAATATTTATTGTGTGGTAGGTGTTATACTAAGTGCATCAAACATTTAAAATGTATTAATAACGCTGTCCTCACAACAACCTGCTGAGGTAGGAACCATAATCATCTGTATTTGATAGAATCCTAAAGGTCATAAAGTAGTAAAAGGGAAGCCAGCCAGGGTTTGAGCCCAGCCAGTCTCATCCTAGATTTTGCACTTTAACTTGATGTGTTGTTGCTAAACTTACAGAGATAGAATTTCATATAAAACCATTCTTTTTTTTTCCAGATAAAATATTATAGGTTTATTTAAAACTTAATTCTCACCTTGAGTATGCAAAATACAAACTCTACAAAATGTTCATTTTTTTTTCTTTGCAGTTTAGAAATGTACAAAATAGAGGTCTGCTTAAGTATATATTACATATTTATTAAGGCAGGGAACTATATAGAAAAAAACACATTTGTACTGCTTAAGGCATATTTGGGAATAAACCATGGTACGAATTATTGCACATCTGAAACAACAGTGCATAACAGACTGCATAAAAATGTAAAAGAAATACATGAAGCATATTTACTTGACTTAGGTACTTGTAGATCAGAAGACAAAAAAAATAACTTTTTCTTGTCAAAGTATACAGTTTTTGACAACTTTGGCTTCCTCATTTGGTACCCTTAGAACCAAAACTCACCAAACACCATCACAAGAAATGCATTTTCTGTACCTGAATTTCTTCCTTTTCTTCTAATATCATAATATAAAACCATTCTTAATAGTGGTTTTCTTTCCCCACAGGTGCAGATTTGAAAAATGGTACTTGTAGTCATCCTTTAATTCCTGATAAAGTCTCTCCTCTTTTACCTGCAACTCATGTGACCATGGCAAAAGGAACAGGATTGGTTCACACAGCCCCAGCTCATGGTATGGAAGATTATAGTGTCRCCTCTCAGCACAACCTGCCAATGGTACTCTTCTCTCTTTTCTTTTTCTTATTATTCTTATAGAATCAAAGTGGTAAATCCTAACATCTTTATTTCTTGATAATAATAATTTTGGTCAACATAATTAGGTTGTGAAATGCCTAGGTTTATGTAGTATCCTAAAGTTTCAGTAATTCAGAATTAACATGAAATCAAAATAAAATTAGAACTGAAGAATATATACTATGTGGGGACACTTTGAATGTGCACAGACCTCATTATGTTGTGCTTTACTTTATTGCACTTCACAGATATTGCATTTTTTTTKGGTACCAGGGTTTGAACCCAGGGGCACTCAACCACTAAGCCACATTCCCCAACCCTATTTTGTATTTTATTTAGAGACAGAGTCTCATTGAGTTGCTTAGCGTCAGTTGCTGAGGTTGGCTTTGAACTCAACGATCCTCCTGCCCCAGCCTCCAGAGCTGCTGGTATTACAGGCATGCACCACTGTGCCCGGCTAGATATTTCATATTTTACAAATTGAAAGTTTCTGGCAACTCTGTGTCAAGCAAATATATCGGCATTATTTTCTCAATAGCTCAGATGGTTATTAGCATTTTTTAGTGTAAAGTATTTTTAATTAAGGTATGTACATTGCATTTTTAGACATAATGCAGTTGTACTCTTAATATCCTGCCATAAAATAAACATAACTTTTCTGTGCACTGAGAAACCAAATATTTTATGTGACTGGTTTTATAGTTGATCCTGCTTTATTGTGGTGGTCTGGAACCCAGCCCACAGTACTTTTTTTCAGGTATTAAGTCACAGATAAATTACTCCCAGTTCCTAGAAAATGGCAAGTAGATTTTACTTAGTAATTGTAAAGGACAGTTTGGGTTTGTTTTTTTTTTAACTTAAAAATCTTCTCTAAATGTATTTTATGTACTTCTATTACTGAGCAGATTTTTCCACTTAGTTAAAAGCCAAGTCTCAAAGCGAACAACTATGTACACTGCCATTCAACTCTAAATAATAGAGACCAGTTAAAATGTTTTAGTATATTTTGTTACTTTTTGTTATTATACTTTAGGTATATGCTTTAATAATATATTTTGCCTTTGGTGATTTAAATATATAAAATTCACAAATTTCTATTGATTGAATAAGTGTACCCAAATTTTCAATGTAGAGAAAGAATAGTCTGTATTGAGATGTTTTATGTGTATTGTTTTGCCAGAGATTGTCATAAGATAAAATGTCTTGATGCTTTAATTGTTCAAATGGATTTGTAGGATTGTTTGGTGGACGAAGGTGGGATTTTCACAGCCGAAGCAGGTCCTGAACTTCACAAGAAAGCTGTCCTTGAAGAGGGAACTGATGTGGGTAAGTACTGTACCTGTTGATAACATAGTGGCATATTTTCTGAAAAGCAGCCAGCAGTAACCTTTGCTTGCTTTCTGCCAAAACAAAATAATTTTATTTTGTTTAACCATATAGTTTAAAATGAGTTCAGGGCTTTTTCATCTTTTGCTTCAGAGCTGCTCTACTTTTTAAGCAAATTCAGACAATTGGGAGTGATGTTATTTTAGGGCTACAAAGGTAATGATCATCTGTGTGACTTTTGTGGAGGATAATATCAAGCTTGGGGCTAGATGTTGGCTATAAATCAGACATTTCCCGCTCCTTTTGTAACTCTTGCAAATAACTGAGCTGGTTATTTGGTTTAGATTTTAGAATCGTAGGACTCCACCAGTCTGGAATTCTCTTTCTGCYTTCACGGAATCAGAGACCATTGCTGTGAAAGCTTTCAATGTACACATTAACACAAGGGTGAATTAGACCTTGCATATTACTTTTCTTGGGCTGTAATAACAAATTGTCATAAATTTGGTGGCTTAAAACAACTAATTATTCTCTAAATTCTGGAGAGTAGATGTCCAAAATCAAGATTTTGATAGGACTATATTTCTCCTGAAAGTTCTRTGAAAGAATCCTTACTTGCCTCTTCCTAGCTTCTGCTGGCCCCTGGAGTCCTTGGCATGCCTTAATCTATGGTCACWTCACTGCACTCTCCACTTCTGTTGTCACATGGCCACTTTCAGCTTTTGTGTGTCTCTCTGTGTATCTTCTCCTCTTAAAGACACCAGTCATTGGATTTAGGGCCCAGTCTAATCCATTGTGCCCTCATCTTAATTTAGTTACATCTATAAAGATTGAATTGCAAGTAAGGTCACATGCATAGAAATGAGGATAGACAGAGCTTAACCCATCAGACATGCTTTCTTCTGGATTACCTAGAGAACATTTTAAAATTTATAGTATGATAGATAGACAGGCTCTGAGTTTTAAATTTAGAATTCTTAAGTATATCTGTTCATCTTTCCTTTGAAGTGAAGAGTTGTGGGAATAGCATAATTTAGAGCCTGATTAAGGTTTTACAGCCCCTGCTATTCTTTGCCAGGAGATATACAGATTATGTCTTTGATCCCTGGGAAATAGTATCTATTGGACTAGACTTAATACTTTTTCTTAATTTTTTTTTGTATTTATAGATGGACAGAATGCCTTTATTTTATCTTTATATAGAGCTAAGGGTTGAACCCCGTGTCTCACACATGCTAGACAAGCACTGTCACTGAGCTACAGCCCCAGCCCCAGGCTTAATACTTTTCATTAGTTTAGAACACTATTAGGATTTTCATAGTACTTCTTCATTATGTCTAATCTCTTTTTTTTTTGTCCTAGTCATAAAGCTGCTTAAAACTTCAAAGAATTTGTTGAAAGAGGAAAAACTGATACACAGCTATCCCTATGACTGGAGGACTAAGAAACCAGTGGTTATTCGTGCCAGCAAACAGTGGTTTATAAATATCACAGATCTAAAGACTACAGCCAAGGTATAAAATGCATTCTACTATAAGGGGTTGGGTTTATCTTTCTCACCATGYCAAAGGATTGCATGTAAGGGTGAGGAGGTGGGGTTTTGGAGTAGATGGTATTGTTGCTTTTGTAATTTGTTTCCCTAGCATTGTAGAGTTAGGAAGGTCTGAAAAGACCTTGGGTTTTATTCTTTCATTATGCATATGTGGGAAAAAAGCTTGATTTGCTGATTCACTTTTCCTTCCCCATATAGTGAAAGTAGCATAGAATTAGGACAGAACTGAGTTTAACACATTTTTAACCCCCTAGAAATTCAGTTCTATACCCTCTTCATTGACATCAAGGTGAGAATCCCACATTATAGAGTAAGTGAGCAAAAGTTTCCAGAACAGTGTTTGACATATAATAGGCATTCAATAAAATTCTTTGTAAACACTTTGTTTCCTTAAGATTGAACTAGCAAATCCATTGAAGGAGTTGTAGCTTTGAATTAACAAATATTTTATAACTAGTATTCTAGTTATTTAATATGTGTTTGAGCTCTTTCATTTAACATACATATGTATCTGTGTGTATACTGGTGTATGTGTTGTGTATTTGTGTGTATATGTGAGCATATGTGTGTATCTTTCACAAAAAATTTGATTCTATTGAATGAAAGAGCACAAATTATATATTTGTTAACTAGACTGAATATACAGATATTTTGCTGTATAGTTTACAAATAAGCTACTACTGGAATTAGCTGGTTCATTTGTTGGGTTGACAGTTTGGGGTCCTTATTTTTCATTCCTTTCTGAAGCCTATCTTCCTTACTTTTAAAACATTAACATTTGTAACTTCCAGCTCTAAATAACTTTTTGGTTGAGGAACATCTAAATCTGATATAAGATGTTTAAGCCCAGTTTTTTTTTTTTTTTTTTTTTTTTTTTTTTTTTTTTTGGTAGTACTGCACTAGGGATTGAATCCAGAGTCAAGGTACCACTGAGCTACATCCCTATATCTTTTATTTTTTTTAATTTTGAGACAGGGTCTTGCTAAATTCCTGAGACTGGCCTTTAACTTGAGATTTTCCTACCTCAGCCTCCTAGGTTGCTGTGATTACCCAGCCCCCAATTTTTTTAAATATATTTTTTAAATTGTAGATGGACACAGTATCTTTATTTATTTTTATGTGGTTCTGAGGATCAAACCCAGTGCCTTACCCATGAAAGGCACACTACCACTGAGCCACAGCCACAGCGCCCAAAACTTTTTTTACAGACTATTTTCAGTAGCTTTTTGTAGAAGTTGCAAAAGTAGAGTCATCTGTTGCCACATTTCCATCATCCAGCTTCAACAATAATCAATTTTTGGCCAGTTTTTTCCCTCTTACCCCACCTACCTTTTCCCCAAAACCACTGGATTATTTTGAGGCAAATACCAAGCATCATTTTTTTTCAGGCAATATTTCACCATGTACATCTGAAAGATAAACATTCTTTAAAGCATAATTCTAAGCTGGGTKCTCTGGTGCATGCTTGTAATTCTAGCAACTTGGGAGGCTGAGGCAGGAGAATCCCAAGTTCAAGGCCAGCTTCAGCAACTTAGTAAGGTCCTGCACAATTTAGTGAGAATCCACTTCAAAAGAAAAAAAGGGGGATGGTGCTGGGGAGTTAAGTACCCTTGGTTTCAATTTCCAGTACCAAAAAAACCCCCCATAAATCCAATGATATTATACCACCTTCAGAAAGTCCTTAACAAAATCCAGTAACCCAGTCAGTATTCACATTTCTTGGCTTTCAAAACCAAGTATTAGTCAAATTGAATTACAGAAGTGGTGTTGCTCCAAAAGGTTTTTGGGGTAAGAGACTTCAGTTTAGAAAAGAAGCTATTTAAACCTGCTTAGCAAATGCTTTATTTTGGGGGTACTGGGGATTGAATTCAGTGGCACCTGATCACCAGGCACATCCCCAGTAAATACCCCAAGGGTATTTTCTATTTTATTTAGAGACAGGGTTTCTTGCTGGGGGTATAGCTCAGCTGGTAGAGTGCTTGCCTCTCATGCACAAGACCCTGAGTTCAAAACACTTGTACCACAAAAAAAAAAAAAAAGAAAAAAAGAGAGAGGGGGGGGGGTCTCACTGAGTTGCTTGGTGCCTAGCTTTTGTTGAGGCTGGCTTTGAACTCACAATCCTCCTGCTTCAGCCTCCCTAGACACTGGGATTCCAGGTATATGCCACTGTGCCTGGTGCAAAAAAGCTTTTTTTAAATGAAGAGTTTAAGTTAGCATATTTTGACTTTTTTTAGGGGATTAATAACAACCATTTGTGCTGTTCAATTGATCTTTTGGTAATTGACAAATACAATCAAATGCAGGTAGTTGACAACTTTTTGAGGAAATAAAGAAAGGGGGAGTTTTCAAAGGATGGTAAATAAGTAGGAAGTAACTGATATTTTGGGGAAAGTGTTTTCAGCATTGTAAACCTTGCTGTGTAAAATCAAGCTATATTGTAATCCTTGTTTGTCAACCTAGGACAGTAGCTTATTTTTAAAGTGCTTACAAAAATGATTAAACTCAAGTTTGCATTGATCTAACTATAGTTTATGAAGTATATGTAATACTTGTACTAAACCTTTTATTACCAGTTTTCTTTGTTTTTGAAGTGCAGTCTCCCTACATTGCCCAGGCTGGTATCAAACTTGTGTGTTCATGATCCTCCCACCTCAGCCTCCAGTCATTATTCATTCATAGTTCTTTTTGTGCCTCTGTTAATAGGTGTGTCTTTTCCATGCCCAGGCTTGTTACCAGTTTTGATCTAGAGTTGGTGTAAATTGGAAATTGGTATAAAGTCTCTTGTTACATCCTTCAAAGATTAAGTGTGCTCTTGATAATAATTAATAAGACTTTGGTGACTCTGTTTTTGTTTTGTCTCATTTGCTCTGAAATCTCTAGTTTTTTGTTGTGTTTGGTTTGGGGAGTGTCGAGGGGATGTGAATGACAGCCAACATCCAAAACGAACCACTGCATAAGGAAAAATAATGACAGTTGTAGAAAAATTTATTCTGCTCTCTCTCATTAGTCTTGATTTATGAATCAATTGCAGGAATTGTTAAAGACAGTGAAGTTTATTCCAGGAGCAACACTGAATGCCATGGTTGACATGATGGACAGGCGTCCGTATTGGTGTATATCCAGGCAAAGAGTTTGGGGAGTTCCAATTCCTGTATTTCATCATAAAACAAAAGATGAATACTTGATCAACAGGTAGAACTTTTTATGATAATTTTTTGTTGTTTTAAAGTGAATTGTGTTCTTTTCAGTAATGGAAAAAAATAGTGTAAACTATTGAGATTCTCATATATTTTTCATTTATTTATTTTTCAGGCACTGGGTATTGAACCCAGAGGTGCTTAACCACTGAGCTACATCCCCAGCTCTTTTTATTTTTATTTTTATTTTTTTGAGACAGGGTCTTGCCAAGTTGCTTAAGGCCTTAGTAAGTTGCTGAAGATGACCTTGAACTTGCAGTCCTCCTGTCTCAGCCTCTAGCGTAGCTGGGATAACAGACATGAGCCACCACGCCCAGCTTCTTATATATTTTAAACAAGATATTATAAAATAGCAATATTTTGGGTAAATGAAATATAAATTTCCAAAGGATTCATATTTCAACATATAAAACAAAAACTAGATTTGTTCCAGTATTGATAATTAGAAAGAAAGCTCTGTTTTATTCTATGAGAATTTATTGTGCTAGTTTAAAGTGTTGGGGATCCAAAGATCCCCACTGTTTAGGTGGGGAGCCTAAAATGTAATTTTACTTTAGGAATTACTTTACCAGTGAACTACATCCCCAGCACTTTTTATTTTTATTTTGAGGCACAATCTTGGTAAGTTGCTGAGTTTGGCCTCAAACTTGTGATCCTCCTGCCTCAGCCTCCCAAACTGCTGGGATTACAGGTGTGTGCCACCTTACCTGGCCTCCCTGTTAGCAGATGTGGGACAGGGAATATTTATCATTCCTTTGGGGAATACATTCTAGGTTTTCATTTTCTTTGAGTAATGTTTTAATATGGCTAAATTATGTTATAGCCTAAGTAAAGAGTTTGAATACATTTGTAAGTGTTTATACATTTAATCAATTGAGAACCCAGTGAAGAATTTGAGGGAATAGAGGCCAAGAAATAAAAGAGGAGTGTTGAGACTGTAGACGTAGATTTGAATGTCCCTACCTTGTCTCTCAAATTTTTGTGAAAAGGTTATACTTTTCATTGTCAATATTATCATTATTTCTTTAACAGTACTTCCATGATTGCATATATTTGAAGTGGTATTTTTTTTTCAGTGTTAAAGGCTTTTTTTTTTTTTAAGTCATCTGTAGGCACATATTGAATGCTTTTTTTTTGTTTGTTTGTGTATTTGTTATCTTTTGGTGCTGGAGATTGGTTGTTGATTGATTGTTGATTGTTGACTAAGTAGGTGAAATGTGAACTTCGTCAGAAAAACACAAACAAGTTTTTTTTTATCATTTACATTTTTATTTGTTAATACATTTACATGGTTGTGTTAAAGATCTCTGTATCTGCCATTGTGTTGCTTCCATGGTATTAGTTGATTTCTAATTTTGAAGTAGAAGAGATATACAGAATATTGGCCTACAGAAGTGACAGACAAACTTAGTCATACTGTCTGTCAATTCATAGGTCATTTTCCTGTACACCATTTCTTAATGATGACTCAGATCCTCTTCCATTTTGACATTACACTTGAACTTAAGACAGTTGACATTCATTCTTAGTTATTTTGTCAGTTTTATAGAAGAGAAAGATTATCATTTTTCCTCCTTAAGTGAAGGAGAATCAAGTAATCRCAGTGTTGTATTCTTATGCCTTTGTATTGTAGCAAGTTGGTGACCATCAAAAGTAACAGCATCTCCACTGGAAATTCATACACAGTCCACATGGAGTTGCTGTTACACTTGATAATCCCACTCAGTGGATCCAAAGGTTCCTTCTGTTGGTTTTTTTCCTTCTGTGGTGCTGAGGTTCAGCAGGGCTTGGCACATGCCAAGCAAAAACTCTACTGCAGAATTGCACCCCCATCCCTCCTCTGACTTTCTTGATGAAAATGTATATATTATCTGTAAGTGTATTTTTTTCCGAAAATAAATTTTTAAATTTATGTTCTAAATGAGTTTAGAGACTGATTTGGTTTGAAACTGATGTTTGATTGTGATTTGAATTAATGGTTTTATTAACATTTTATATTCATTTGTATTTTATCAAGAAATGATTTCAGTTCTGACCTTAATGTCATTGGTCATTTTCTGCATCTGCAATATAATATCATTATGACTTAGATTAAAATCAGTTTCTAGTTAATAAAAACAATAATTTTTAGTATAAAAAATTAGAAACATTGGCTCCGTAGGCAGGAAAAAARTTGACTGATTTTTTTTCAGTATTTCACATGATTGTTATCAACTTAATACTATAAATACCATGATTGTAATCAATTTACTGCTATTAATAGCATAGCTAACTTATGCATTTAGGAAACTGAACTTAAGCATTTAGGACGTTGACTTCTGGAAATTGTGAGAAATTTATAGAAACTGACAAGRAATTTCCAATTTAATTTGAGTTTATCTGTCTTAATTTCAGATTTACAATAATAATGACACTTTGGTAGAATTTTTTGTTAATTAACTAAAATTTTCTCCAAAATTATTTCCTGTTACCTTTAAAACCTAATTGTAGGATTAGATTAAGTAAAGAATGCTTCCCTCCCAAATTTTATTGTGTTCTCAAATTAAATTTAGTAAACAAATATGAAGCAGTCTCTTACCTTATTCTTATTCCAGTAATTTGCAGAAGAAAAGTTCTCTTATAGCCCTTAATATTTTTGCTTATAAAAACAAAACAGAAAAACGGTGAAATGACAGCCAGTTTCTTCGTTACCTAGCCTTAAGACTGCTTAATTTCCAATAACATGCTAAATGAGCCTTCAGCTCAGTTGATAGTGAAGTTCAGAATGATTGGTTGGTGTTATAGTTGCTCATACTGCCTAGTGGGTTTTCACTGATTGAAATCTAGGAAGGGACACGTAATGCATGTGTTTAGATAAGGCCTTTGAGTAAAGTACAGAGTTTTATGGTGGACTTATTGCTTTATGAAATACAGCATTAAAGTAGAAACATATAGATTATATAGTGAGTGATAAGTGGTTTCACCCACTTTTATCAACAGTAATTTATACTGACCTTTAAGCTACATATTAACTGCGTGCTTGTGTTAAGTATAGGGTATTATTAACAAAATTAAGGCTAGAATTTTTAAATTTCCAAGAGCAAATTTAGACTTTTTCCCTTGAAGAATATATAACATCATAGGGAAATTCTTAGAAAACTGTTTTCAAAAATTTTAAAGCATGATCTCAGTTTCATTGTAAAAATAACCCTACTTCTGAGCTGGAATTGTAGTTCTGTGATAGTGCACTAGCCTAGCATGCATGAGGCCCTGATTTCAATCCCCAGCACCACAAAAAGAATAAGAACTTCTACTTCTCTGAATATTTATCATAGGGAAATAAGAGGACTAATGTCTCTTGGTCTTTTGTACAAAGAAATATATGTACAATATATTTGTTTGTAAAGAAATATAGTATTATAAAAGAAGATTTAATCCAGTTCAGTTTTGGAAGAATGATTCTGCAGCCATAATGATTGTCTGGGTCCTTGGGAATGAAAATCAAATAAACAACCCAGCCACCATTTGGCAGTTCCAGACTTTTACCACAGCTCTATGGATACCCTATGAGCCCTTATTTTATATTAATTTGTATTTTTTTCCATGCTATCCATTATAGCTACCTCAAGTTTTTAGGTTATATGTCTGTGTTTATTTTTATTGCAAATTTTGTTTTTAAAATGCTTATCACAGCTTTTTAGAATCAGTCTACTGGAGTACAAGCCAAGAAAGTTAGTTTCCTCTTTGTATTMTTTGCACATGAATTTTGATTCATTTGGATTGTTATTTGTTATTATTATTAAAATCTGCATATTATAATTTTTTTCAGTTTTTATTATTTTTAGATAAAAAATCACATATATTTATTGATGGCATAAAATTTTCAAACATATGTTCTGAAATGGCTAAATTGAGCTGATTAATATGGTTTCTTTATTCTCTCATTCTAGAATTGTTTTTTTTTTTTTTCTTTTTCTTTTAAATGTAAGTAATTGTCTAAAATCTCAAAATAGAACTGAACTGGGACTGGGGTTGTATTTCAGTGGTAGAGTACTTGCCAGGCATATGTAAGGCCCTGGGTTCAATCCTCCATCCCMACATAAATATAAATAAATAAATGAATAAAATAAAGCTATAAAAAAATAGAACTAAGAGGCTGTGGCTCAGTGGTAGAGCACTTGCCTAGCATATGTGAGGCATGGGGTTCAATTCTCAACACTGCATATAAATAAATAAATAAAATAAAGGTCCACTGACAACTAAAACAATATTTTTTAAAAAAACTGAATTTGCAGAGCATAATGCTTTGTAAAGCATACTTAGTAAATTTAATTTAGTACATGATTTATTTATTTATTTATTTATTGTATTGGGGATTGAACCCAGGGGCACTTTACCATTGAACCACATCCCCAGCCATTTTAATTCCATTTTGAGTCAGGATCTCCATAAGTTACTTAGGGCCTTGCTAAATTGCTGAGGCTGGTTTCAAACTTAGGATCCTTCTGCCTCAGCCTCCGAAGTTGCTGAAATTACAAGTATGGGCCATCATACCCAGCCAATACGTGATATTTTTCTATTTCATAATATAAAGTAAGGAGGTGAGTCTTGCTCTAAATGTTAGTGAGGCTTCCTCTATCAATGAGACAGAACTTATTATCCTTCTCAAAAATGTTTCATATTTCTTTTAGATATATTGAAAGCAATTTTCTTTTGTTTAGGTTTATATGCATATGTAATAAAATAAAATTTGGGCTATTTTTTGTATGTAGTTTTATTTACAGTAGTTTTTTGAAATCGTATTTTAAAAGTTACTGCAGGATTAACATTGTATGATTAAATCACTTCTAAGAAAAACTAAAATAAAAACAAAAACCAAGCAATTTCTTTCTCACTTTATGGGTTTCAAGAAGTATTTTTAATTCGTAAATAAAAGATTTGTAAAATGCAAGATTAAAGATTGGGGGTTCCGCATAGTGCTTGAGCTATAATTGTGCATGAGTGAGGCCCTGGGTTTGATCCCCAGAACTGTAAAGGAAATAAAAAAAAAAAGCAAGATTATATTTCTTTGCATGTTAAAACATTGTGTTACTTTGTGTTACTTATCTGAGTGAATTTTAGTGAGACTAGAGGTAAATGACTAGTTAGGATTTTTTCAGTTGCTTTAGTAACATGTCAGGAGCAAAAATTGGAATCTTCCTTTCTTTGGTACTTTGATAAACTCAGTAAGATACTTGAGTATGGTTGAATAATACTTAAAAATTTTAAAACTTTATGAAATACTTAATATTTAAGGATATGAAAAAAGATTCATTAAAGTTGTTTTGGCATTCTAAAATAGATGTGAAGGTATTATCAATAATGGTAAGGTATTTATGCTTCTTTAGATATGAGGACTTTTTCTCCTCTTAGAGTAAAATTTTTCACATACCCTTCTTGTCACAACTTCTCTCAGTGTTCATAGAAACTGAAACTCAGGAAAAATAATAACTTTATTCCTGTCATCCATTAAGTCACAGGTAGTCCTGAGGCCTTTGGACTCATTTCTTACTCTGTCAACACACTTATCTCCTGAGAATCCCTTGTTCCCTGACTTCATTTCTGTTCACGGTCTTTATTATACATGGGTAATAAGAGCCTTTTTGCCATTGCTTAGCAAATCCAAAGAGAAATAGTGTGAGTTCAGTGACAGTGGTGACTGTAATAGATGAGTTAGAGACTCAGAATAAAGAAGTAAAAGTAGCCCTGAACCATGATTTGGGATACATACTTTTAAGGTCTAGTTTTGTTACTTGTTTAATCTCATTACTTACAAAATCCCAAATACAAAATGGGCAGCTGTACTGTAAATCCAATTAGTGCTTATAAAGGACTTTGAAAAATATAGCATGTACTAGACACACAAATGCTTTTGATTAATGATAATGTCAATCCTGTATCTCTACTTGCTAAGTTTACATGAAATCTGAATGCATTACTTTTAATTTTATATTTTGTGTTTATTTTCAATATAAAACAATTTTGCTGTTTTCTGAAATTACCAATCTTGTAACATTTATATAAAGGATAAAGGGACACCAATGTATTTATTTTTATGGTATTGGGGATTGAACCCAGGGCCTCACACTTGCTAGGCATGTGCTCTACTACTAAGTTATATCCTCAGCCTTTATTTTATTTTGAGACAGGGTCTCATTATATTGCCAGGATGTCCTCTAACTTGTGATCCTTCTGCCTCAGCCTGGTAATACCCATTTTTAGAATCATTAATTTTTGATGAAAATTTCTTTTTTTCTATTCCATTCTGCAGTTGAACCTACAGCCTCACCCATGCTAGGCAAGTACTCTATCACTGAGTTATATCCCAAACCTGAAAATTATATAATTTGTTTGAACAATGCATCTGCTGGAATTATGTGTGTGTATAAATGTACTTTGCTAGTATCTTTATCTTTTCTCTTTTTAGGGTTTTGTCCTCTCGGGTGTTAGATTTTCTCAGATTTTTATATCATAATATTATTCATATTTTCTTAACTGACAAAGTATTCTTTGCAAACTATAAATAGTAATATATAACTGAATATTATTATCATATAACTAGGTTATTAGTACATAAAGTGCATAAAGTTTTTATGGTCTCATAGAATAAACGTTTATCTTTACTGTTGGAAGTCCATATAAAATGAGTGTAGCAATCTTAGAAACATGGAATTGTGCCCATTACATTCTTATTATCCATAACATTATAATTTCAATGTATCCTTCTAGAAAAATGCCAACTTAGTGACATTTTATAAGATTATTTAAGTTTTAACTTGTAGACATATTTAAGTTATATTGCCCATTCAGTTTTTTGCTTCCTGCAATAATTTTTGTAAACATTTCATTGATGTGTGAATTAGCAGACCAACAAAAGTTAGATGATTTGTTCTACATAGTCATAATTAGTAAGACGCAGATGGAGATTTAGAACTTAATACTTTTTCCTGTTCACTATTTCCATTTTCATTAAGTCCTTTGGACCTATATTAAATTCTTAGTTACTGGGCTGGGTTGTGGATCAGTGGTAGAGTGCTTGTCTGGCAAGTATAAGGCCCCGAGTTTGATTCTTGGAACTGCAGGAAAAAAAAAAAAAAAAAACTATACACGCACGCACACACATACACACACACACACACACACACACATATATATATAAAATGTTAATATAGTTGTGTGTTCTGGTATTTGATTAACATAAAATGAACCATCTAAATTTATCTGGTTTAAAATAATTATTTTAAGAAATAGCTAATGCTTATGTACATATAAAAATGAGTGAGGCATTCTTTGTTCTACGTTTTTTATATCCACCTAATTAATATTCATAATGAGGTTGGGGATATAAGTCAGTGGTAGAGCACATACTTGCCTGAGGCCCTGGGTTTGATCCCTTGCACCACAAAAAAGTTAAAAATAGAAAATTTAATATTCTTAATAAGTCTCTAAATGATGCTCTTTTTATTGCATTTTACAAATGAGGAAACCAAGGTTCATAATACTTAGTACCTTGCCCGGGGTTACATGTCTAGTAAGTGGGATAGAGCCAGAAATTAAACCCAAACTGTCTGACTTGAAGGTCCATGCTCTTGCCCATTGTATGTACCCTGACTAAAAGGAAAGCAACTAGAGGAAGCTATATAATATTAACAAAGATGTAATACAAATATTATATTAAAAGTATGTAATTGCTGTGAGTACCTTTAGTATAAATTTTTTTCCTGGCTCTAATCTTCAAATAATTTATAACTATATATCTTCACACAGTTATTCATTTGATATACAGTTATTGGCATTCTTCCATGTGATGGGCACTGTTTTGAAGTTTACATGTATGGTCTCATTTATTGCAGTTATTCTGAGGGACATATGTAGGCTCACTAAAATGTAAGTTCCATTAGGGCAGGGATCTCATCTGTTTTGTTAAGTGCAGTATCTCTAGTTCTAGAACACTGCTGAAGAAATTGGAGATGCTSAGTAGATTAAAAAAAATGAATTGGATTATTCTTCTTAACAGAGAGGAGAGCTGAATGTTAGAAGAGTTTTAGTTTTTGTACATGGTCGTGTCCATAGTGATGGAGAACAGAAGCCTAAATATCTGCTGTTGAAGTCTGTACTCTACTATGGCATTGCCTCTTACACAGGTGGATTTGAACTTAGTTCTGTAAGCAGGAAGGGAGCTCTTGAAAGTTTTTGAATGGAGAATTTGTGTAATCAAAAGCAGTTTAGGAATGCATCCATCTCAAGGTGTATCAGGTAAATAAAGGGATGAGAGTAGGGGAAATGTCAGATCATTGCATCAATCTAATATTGAAGCAGTAAGATTGCATTAATATGGTATCAATGGAAACAACTGTAATATTTCCAAGGTGGAACTGACTAAATTTGTTGGTTTAATTTGGCCAGAAAGTGAAGGAGGCAGGGTAGTTAGGAGGTTTTGAGTATAGGTACTTAGAAAATAGAAATGGGGAAATCATGAAATAGGAAATCATAAACTGAAATAGGCAGATCAGAAAATATCATAGTATATTAAAAGTATAGATCAGAAGAAATCTTTTTCTTTTTAACTTGTATAGGGATAGATGATTAATTTTACTTAATTAGTTTGAATTTAAATTATGGCAGCAGCCAGATAAGCATGTAGTTGAACTAAGGTTCAGGAAAAAGGAAAAGATATTGTAATTTTTAAATTTTATTATTCATTATTATAGTAAATTGAAAAATTCTTCCTTTCCCCCCAAAATAGCCAAACCATTGAACATATTATTAAACTAGTGGAACAACATGGCAGTGATATCTGGTGGACTCTTCCCCCTGAGCAACTTCTTCCAAAACAAGTCTTATCTCAGGTAAACTACTATTTGTATTTGACAGCCTTTGTACGTTTTTCATGACAATGACAACGTAAGAGTTCTCGGAATTAAAAGGTGTGGTTATAATGTCATGTAAAGTTAATAAATTTATTTACTATGAATTCTAAGCAAATGCAGTTTGAACATTGGACATTTTGTTAGCAATGGAAACATAGTATTTAACAGAGCATGGAACAGTAAGGTCATTTATCTCTTTGGGAGCTAGGATTGATTTTTGACTGATTGGGTTGACTAAGTAGATAAYTATGAGAGAACAGCCCCCAACATTGGTACATCAGGACTTTTTAGGATCTGATGTGGAGTTAACAGATTACATCACACATCAAAAAATCCACACTAGAAATTAATTTTAAGAACTTTTTAAAAAACAGCAACTATTTTACTACATTGGTAGATGTATGTAACTAAGTGGCCATAGTCACTTTTACATGCAAATGGCGAGAGTTGTAACTGAACTGTAAAATGCTTAAAAATGTTTAGATGTTATTGAAAAATGTGAATTGAATGTCTGTTTTTCACTTCCTTTTTTAAAAATATTTATTTTTTAGTTTTAGGTGGGCACAATATCTTTATTTTACATTTATGTGGTGCTGAGGATCGAACCCAGTGCCCCATGCACTCTACCACTGGGCCACAATCCTAGCCMGTGTTTTTCACTTTCTTAAAATTCTTTGGGTACTTAGTGGCTATATTGTGGTCTTTGTAAAATTAAAATGCTTTTGCACTATCTTATTAGGTTGGTGGTCCTGATGCTTTGGAATATGTACCAGGTCAGGATATTTTGGACATCTGGTTTGACAGCGGAACTTCATGGTCTTATGTTCTTCCAGGTAAGTTTTTTAAAATAGATTATATGCCAATTGAGAAGTTTTGAAAACACAGAAATGTTACTTAAAAGAGATCTGTAACCAAAAACTTTTGTTTGCTTTATAAGAAGTAGATCTTCTATTATAATTGTAGACCTAGAAGGATCCTTTGGCAGTCATGTGATCCAATGATTTCCAAACTTTTTGTTTTTTTGCTTGTGTGATTTTCAAGGTGAAATTTTAAGTAGAATCTTAGTACATTAAATAGATGGAAAAGAATAGGAATTTTCTCCTCCTTGTAACTGGCTAATTCTCCTTAGTTTGTACAGCAATCTGAAAGCATCCAGTTTCATAAAATAAAGTTTGGAAATCCCTGAAGTAATCTGATGCCATCATTTTTTAGAATAGAAAATGAGATTGAATTAGAGCCAGATTAAGTGGAACTTGGGAGCTAATATTCAATTCTCATTCTTCCACACTGCATTGACCCTTTCACATTTTTCCCCCTCTTTATAGAAATAACAGACTAATTATTTACCTACCTCATAGTTAGGGTCAATTTTGACTCATTGTATAAAGACAAAGAAGAGACCATGGACAAAAATTAGAAGAGCACAGTAGTAGAAGGCACACCTTAGAAGATGTGTGGAGATATTTGAGAGCAATATCCTTAAGGATACGACATGTAAAGTTGGACATAAGAGTAAAAAAAACGAGCCTTGTCAGCACTGTGAAATTAAAGATGGGGCTGCAGAGTTCAGAGCTCAATGATGGATCAGATAGCTTTGCTTGGGGAATGTGGGGAGAATAGCTCACTATACAATTGGCCATTGTTAAAGGTATTGAAAGGACTTACCCTCAAGTTTTATGTGAAATATACTTCTGACACTGGGCTTCACTGATGAAAGCCCAGCAGTATGATTCCTATTCCATAAATATAGGTAAATATATTTCTTTTATTTGGACCTTTCTTTCAGCTTAGAAAATATGAAAAAAAATGCATGTAAATGCATGTTTATTCTCTGATAACTAAAATGTACATAATAATTCATAATGCACAAATATATTACATTAATTTTTATATAATAATTTTCAATAGTATTATTTCATAATTATTTTTCTCAAAGTGTATATGAGAGAAAATATTGCAAGTTTAGGTACTTTGTTTTTGTGCATTATATGGAAAATTTAGGCAAATGACACTGCTCATGGCAGATTATATAGCAGCAGAAAGATGAGTTTCCTGCTAGCATGTTTGGGGCAGCACCCTGAATTCTAGGAAAGAGTGCCAAAGGTAAAGCTGCTTATGGAATGTATTTCAAAGGTCAGTCACTGCTTTGTTCTTAGTGAGAATTAATACTGCYAGCAGCGTTGCTTTATTTCTCAAGTAGTTCTGTTATTAATGTTGTAAGTGCTGGACCCATTAACTGGGCTRTAAACTGCGCAAAACTGTCATTAAAACTTGCATGCTGTTGTTGAGTGCTGAATTTAGTCATACTGTTTCTCTTTTTTGTTGTTGTTGTTCTGCTAGGGATCAACCCAAGGCCTCATGAATGCTGGGCAAGTGTTCTACTATTGAACCAGTCCCTAGTATGTGTTCCTCGTCCTCTTTTTTTTTTTTCCTTTTTCTTTTTCTTTTTTTTAGTACTGGGGATTATAACACAGGGGCACTTTACCACTGAGCCACATCCCCAGCCCCTTTTTAATTTTTTTCCTATTTGAGACAAGGTCTTACTAAATTGCTGAGGGCCTTGGTAAATAGCTGAGGCTGGTCTCAGGCTTGCAATCCTCCTKATTCAGCCTCYGAAGTTGTTGAATTATAGGTGTACACTGCCACACCTGGTTTAGTGTGTGATCTTCTTAACCAAATAATTTTGACCATGACAAATTTTTTATTAAGTTAAATTAGTGGTAAAATTGTACCTATTTAATGAATCATTTTTTTTGCTTTCCTGTTGTATTTAAGTAATTGACTTCGAAGAAAATTCATTTGTCATTTAAATATATATGATGTACCTAATCTTAGGCTGTAGTTTCTACTTTGTTAACTCATTATCTCTTCTCAATAAAAACCTTAAAAGATAAATCAATAAGAAGTACGATACTCAGGTAACATTTGATTCTATTTTCCTCCCATTTATTTCATGATAAGAATCTCAAGATAGGCAGAAAGTGTAGTGGGGAAGAGAGCTAGGTACAAGGTGAATTCATAGTTTGAAAATCCATAAAGTTTTTTTTTTTTTAAAGTCACCTACTTTACTGAGAAGTGTTAACTGTAATTTTTGTTCTCAAATGTAAAATGAGTCAATGTATATTTCTTTGAGAGTACATTATTACAAAACAAGCTGAGCTTTCTTTGAGCCTAATTTTAGCTGTTAGTCTTCATTTGTATCTTCTACAAACTGAATTGATTAGTTAGCATACATAACTGGTTTTACTTTCTACTGATATGTTTTATAGCAGTGAAAGAGATTTGGATTGTTAAGTTTTGACATCAGTTCAAGTACCTGTTTCCTTGTGAATTCAAAGTCAATTAATTCGAAACTTGAAAACTTTCTAAAAGGAAATGGCAGCCTGGGGCTGTTTCTCAGTGGTAGAGAGCTTGCCTCGCACGGGTGAGGCCCTGGGTTTGATCCTCAGCACTACATAAAAATAAATAAATAAAATAAAGGTATTATGTCCATCTACAACTAAAAAAAATAAACATGTTATGTATGCTAACTAATCAAATTCAGTTTGTAGAAGATACAAATGAAGACTTCAAATTCAGTTTGTAGAAGATACAAATGAAGACTAACAGCTAAAATTAGGCTCAAAGAAAGCTCAGCTTGTTTTGTAATAATGTACTCTCAAAGAAATATACATTGACTCATTTACATTTATCTTAAAAAACAAAATAAAAAAGGAAATGACATTTTTAAATGAATCATTTTATAGGTAAAAAGTGATACCTTTGTATCTAAAACATTGTGTAAACATTCACTGAAGGCATTAGTATGATTAAAAATATTTAATGTATGTGTGATTTAAAATTTTTTTCCTTTTTTTTGTATGTAGATGGACAGCTTGCCTTTTATTTATTTATTTTTATGTGATGCTGAGGATCAAATCCAGTGCCTCATACATGCTAGGCAAGCGCTCTCCTACTGAGCTACAACCCAGACCAATAAACTTTATTTTTTAGAGTAGTTTTAGGTTCTCAGCAAAATTGAACTAAAGGTACAGTTATCATGACTTACCCACTGACAGGCTATTCTCTCCCACTCTTAATACTCCACCAGAGTATTAAGTTACTTGCATTTGTTACAATAGATAAATCTTTAATTAATTAATTAATTTATTATTATTTGTGTGTGTGTGTGTGTGTGTGTGTGTGTGTGTGTGTACACCTGGGGATTGAACCCAGGACACTTTTTTGCTGAGCTATACCTCTAGCAATTGTTTATTTATTATTAATTTTTATTATTTTCAGGCTGCGTCTCACTAAGTTGTCTGGACTGGCCGCAAACTTGTAATTCTCTTGCCTCAGCCTCCCCAATTGTTGGGATTATATGATGAGCCACAGTGCCCAGTGATAAATCTATCTTGATACCTTATTATCACCCAAAACCCATAGTTTACACTAGGTTTACTCTTGGTGGTATATGTTCTGTGGGTTTAGAAGAATGTGCAATGGTATGTGCCTAGCCTTGTAATGTCGTACAGAATAGTAACTACACCATCCCAAAACTCCTGGGTGCCACACCTATTCATCCTTCCCTCCATGCTGTTCTTTAGCAACCACTGATCTTCTTTGGGAAATTCCAGGATTGAATGCAGGGGTGTTCAACCCCTAAGCCCCATCCCCAATCCTTTTCATTTTTTAAATTTTGACACAGGGTCTCACCTTGCTGAGTTGCTCAGGGCCTCTCTAAGTTGCTGAGGCAGGCTTTGAACTTGTGATCCTCTGGCATCAGCCTCCTGAGTTGCTGGGATTACAGTGAGCCACTGTGCTTGGCAAGCATTGTTCTTTTTATTGTCTAAAAAGGTCTTTTTATAGGTTTACTTTTCCTGTGTCATAGTTGGGATCATACRGTATGTAGCCTTTTCACTTCATTTAATATACATCTAAGTTTCTTCCATGTCTCTTCCTTATTGGATGGCTTATGTTTTTAGACTCTGATTAATATTCCATTGTCTAAATATACCATAGCTTATTTATTTRTTCACCTGTTAAATAATAGTGTTTTAAAATACTTATTCTACTTACTTTTAAATTTTTTTTATAGAGAAATAAATATAAAGAGAGAAAAGAGGTCAGTTTTTTCAAACAAAATTAGACTAACAATTTAGATTTTTAAATAACTTCTTTTTAAAAAGTCACTTTTAAGGGCTTGTGCAATATTAAAGAGCTTAATTTCAAAATTTAATTATTACATTTCAGCATATATTTAGAGATTATTTTTGGTTTAAATTATTTTCAGTAGTTACACAGATTAAGCAGTAGTTTTGCCATATTTGCTTGTGCTGGTAATACAGTTTGTTTCCTTAGTTAAATATAATAATCTTGTCAAAATTCATGAATTTAAATTTTGTAATGAATTCAAACATTTTTAAATGTTTTTTATAGTAATTTTTATGGTTGATTTCTTCTTTTTTTAAGTATCTTTTTTAGTTATCGATGGACACAATACCATTTTATTTATTTATTTTTTTATATGGTGCTAAGGATCGAACCCAGTGCCTCACACGTTAGGCAAGTGCTCTACCACTGAGCTATACCTCCAGCCCCGAGTTATTTTTTAAGTTACTTGCATGCCTAAATCATAATCTCAAAGATATTGAATAGTTTATTATTCTTTCTAAATATGAATTTTCATAATTTTCCTAAAATCTAAAGTTACTATGATAGAAATACTTTTTTGACCACGTGGTAAAGGGCCACTTTTCCTGGAAGTGTAAAACTCCGTACTTACTATTGATCATACAAATTCTAATTTTTTCTTTTTTTACTATGAGGTCTATTATCTTTGTGTAGTGGGAATATCTGTGAATCTTGATGTTCTTCCTGTAAGTTTTCCAAACTTCTAAGAATGTACTTTTGTTAGAAAAAATAAGCAGTRCTAAACACAAACTTTTTAGGAAATAGTCCCAATAGTGAATGATATAAAGTTGTTCAGTAAATAAATCTACAGTGAAGTAGCACTTGGGTTTAGCTATGCTTGGCATTTCTTGCCATTTTTACCTTTGTGTTTGGAAGTTCCAGCAAGCTTTATATTTTCATTCCTTTCCAGAGTTTTGCTACTCCCAGACAGCCCATCCCCACTGTTTTCCCACTAATTTCACACCTGTTTTTCGTGAGACAAGTCCTCACTGTGTTGTCTAGGCTGGCTTGTGAACTTTTAAGCTCAACTGATCCTCCCGCCTTRGTCTCCTGAGTAGCTGGACTATATAGATAGATAGGCATGCACCACCAAGCCCGATCTCACATAGGATCTTTTTTTTTTTTGGTGCTAGGAATAGAACGCAAGACCTTATACATACTAGGCAAGCACTCTACCACTGAGCTACACTTCCAGTCCATGTATCATCTTAAAAGTCTTTCTTTCCAGAAATTATCGTGAATGATATTTAACTTTTTACCCAATTCCAACAATTTTCAAATAGATGAGAATGGGAAAGATACGAACACAGAGACCTTACCTGTTTTGTTGTGATGCTTCTAGTAGGCTGGTGTCCTAGTAATTTTATTAGAATATTATAATATGTACTTCTAGGGAAGGATCAGAGACCATGTATTTTTAAAAATAGTTTAATATGATTTTATTTTTACAAGTGTTATTTCATGTGAAACTGAAAGACTATACCAGAAAGAATCTTCTGTAATTCTGTCAGGAAATATCAGAATGCCCTTCATGGCAAATCTTAGTAATAATTAACAATTACTAGAGGTTTCCTAGTCTTACACTTCTTTAATCTCTCTAATAACCTCTTGAGGTAGGTAAATACAGGTGTCATTCCCATTTTGCTGAAGAAAAAAATGAGAGCATGGAAAGATTTAGCCAAAGCCCCCAAGTCAGTAAGCACCACAGGTACTGGGACCCTGGTGGTTGGAATCTAGCCCCTGGACAGTCTTCAGATTCTTATACTCTGAGTACCATGAATCCTTAGACAGCAACTAGCTTTCTTTTTTTGAAATATTTTTCTTAGTTGTCAATGGATCTTTAATTTTATTTGTTTATTTAAATGTGGTGCTGTGGTTGGAACCCACAGTCTCACGCATACCAGGCAAACACTCTACCATTGAACCACAACTCCAGCTCTGGAACTGGTTTTCTTAAAATGAAAAATTTTTAAACTAGCAAGGATCTGAGAGGAAGCCTGTTGTTTCATAAATGTGTTTTTCAAGGTTTGGAAACAGTATGTGCTGCAGGGTGACAGAACTTTGGTTCACTTCTATGATGTTGGACTATGAGCGATTGTTTTACGAGACCAGAGGAGGCACTTCTCAAAGAGATGAAAGGGTTAGGGCTGCTTCTTGCTATTGCATTACCAACTCATTTCAGGAAAGGATTCCCTTGAGTTTTCTATTATTTTTCATCTTATTGAAAATTGCTGTATCAAAATGTGGCTACCAGTAGAGAGTTAACATTTTAGAGTGGAATGGGATTTTTATACTGGCCGTATAAAAGCTTAAATAGGAACAAATGGTTATGAGTCCGTAGAGGAAGGGGAAACAAAAGACATAGCTGCAGCATTCTAGATGTTGAGGCTAACCTGTTATTGTTTTTGTTGTATGTGCATTTACCTTTCTGTATTTTCCCAATTGCACGGACTAGACTGAATTCTCTGTTTTACCATGGTAACACTTGTCACAATTTTTTTATTTTTATTTTTATTATTATTATTTTTTTTTTGCAGTGCTGGGTGGTTATTGAGCCAAGGACTTTAAGCATGCCCTATCACTGAGCTTCATCACCAGCCTCCTAGTTATTTCTTGCTAACATAAAATCTACCCTACTAGATGTTTCTCTGAGAGGCCAGAGACCACATTTCTTCAGTTTTCCCCTCAGAGTGTAGCACAATGCGTGTAATGGGTACTGGGTAATATTGGTTGAATTGAGCTGGTTTAATTTTGTCTCTGTATTTCCATGTCTCATCTTTTTCACATAAGAATTACAATTCTGAATCTTCAATATTAGGACATAAGGGAAAAAAATCATCTAGGACATATGGAAAAAAAATCATCATTTCATAAGTAAAAGGGATATAGGCCTTCTTAAAGTTGTGAATTTGAATTTAATGTATGGAAGTAATTTTCCTCACTAACCTCATGCCCCAGTTTTGAGAACTTTTTTATTTTGAAGTCACAAAGTAATATGAAAAATTCCTACATGCCCTTCATCTAGATTTTCTATTACCAGTTTTACTACATTTGCTTTCTGTATCCTCTCAGTGTAAGTAGAGCATATAGAGAAAACAATTTTATATCTCTAATAATTTTAGTGTTATTTCCTAAAAATATGGACAGTATCATATAACCAATATATATATCAAAATTGGCAAATTGACATTGATTCTATACTGTTAACTATCTACCTGTCTACAGCCCTTATTGAAATTTTACTCAGTAAATTCTTTATGGAAAAGGGAGGGAAAAAAAATCCAGGATCCAGTATAGGATCACAGGTCACACGTAGTTGTCACCTCTCTTTAGTTCCCTCATTTTTTGTCTTTCATAACCTTGACATTCATCAGAGCACAGCCTATTTGGGTTTGTATGATGTGCGCTCATGATGAGATTTAGGGTGTCTTTGGCATGGGTATCACAGAGTGGGGTCGTGTCCTCCTCAGTTTATCATGTTAAGTCACATGATGGCTGTCAGTCTTGTTTCTGGTGATGTCTAACTTCGATCACTTGGTTGAGGTAGTAACTGCCAAGGATTTTTGTTTTGTTTTTTTATTCAGTACTGTGGATTGAATCCAGGGCCTTGCACTTGGTAGGCAAGCACTCTACCGCTAACATCCCTAGGCCCTCTTGTTAAAATTTTTTTTTTTTTTGAGACAGGACTTTACTAAGTTGCCTAGGCTGGCCTTAAACTTGARATCCTTCTACCTCAGCCTCCTAAATAGCTGAGATTACAGGCATGCACCACGATGCCAGCCACTTTTCTTTATTGTAAAGCCTTCCCATTTTCCCCCACCAAATTATCAGTAATAAGTATTTTGTAGGAAGATCCTTTAAGACTTTGAAAATGTCTTCATTTCTCAATTTTCACCTAACAATTAAGCATCCTTGATGAATCTTTTAATTTTTTGGTATCAAGGATTGAACCCAGGGGCATTTAACCACTGAGCCATGTCCCCAACCCTTTTTTGTATTTTATTTAGAGACAGGGTCTCACTGAGTTGCTGAAGGCCTCGCTAAATTCCGAGGCTGACTTTGAACTTGCTATCCTCCTGCCTCAGCCTCTGGAGCTGATGGAATTACAGATTWTAGGCATGTGCCAGAAATAATTGTCACTTATGTCATCAGTAGGTTGTCCATTTTCTTATTATTAACTGTCAAATTAACTATTGTTAATAAAGTACCTCTCAAGCTTGCAAATGTGTCCTACCAAAATTGAGCCAGAATTATCRACATAGCTTTTTTACATTTTGCCCATCATTTGACTAACTCATTGTCAAATTACAAGTTAATAACTTGATCTTTGTAACAATTCATTTTTGTCTTATTATTAAGATAAGGCTCATTCAAGTAGTATGACTTATTGATTAAGAGTGGGCACTCCAGTGCCAGGTTGACTACAGGTTCAAAGTACAGCTGGACTACTTAYTGTCGCAGAACCTGCCTCACTTTCCTCATCTGTAAAGTGGGGAAAATAATACCTGTTTTTATTAGAGTTGACACAATAATTAAATGTATTAATATGTAAAGTTGTTGGATGCTCAGCAAATATTTGTTGCATTAAGAAAATGATATTTTCATYACATATTTAATTTGAAATGCTAATATTGATAATTATTATGAATCAGCCCCTTATTTAAAGAGTGTCTTAGTTGTGCTTTGGAAGATGTTACTCAAAGGTTCATCATCTTTATTTTGGCTCATCAAATGGCAGTGGTATAACAGCTCAAGTAAATGCAGTTTGGTCTCTGGGTAGAGCATGACGCAAGAAATGGATAATGTGATAGAAGCTTTAATGCTTTGATGATACTCATTATTGTTTTCTTATTTTAACTAACTTAAATTTCTATGTTTTTTATAATATTTATTTTTCAGGTACCAACCAAAGAGCAGATTTGTACATGGAAGGAAAAGACCAGCTCGGGGGTTGGTTCCAATCTTCCTTATTAACAAGTGTGGCAGCAAGGAAAAAAGTGCCTTTCAAGTAAGTGTTTGTGCCTGATCTAAACAGTCAGCATGATTTGCCTTTATTGAGTACCTGCCAGGTTGAAGCACTATCCTGGGTAGTAGATAGATAATGTGTGAAAACTGTATTTACATATGTTTATAAAATGTGTGTATGAATAAAGTGCGACAGTCTCCTGTCACATTAAAAAAAAAATAAGAATTTAAAATAAGAAAAAAAAAAGAGAGAAAAGAGACTTCAATAAAAAGGTATCTTGTCACTCTGGCTACATCCTAGAAGAGAATATCAGCATTACTGGAGGAGCTGTGAAGACTTTGTGCMGGTAGATTTTATACTGTGGTAAGAATCCACCTGGGTGCTGGGAAGGATATGCCAGGAGACAGCCTGAGTTCAAGTGTCCTTCCATTTATGACACCAACATTGACTAACCAATTGAAACTTTACCCAGGGAACGTTATTAAATCGGGGATTTTTGTTTAGTACAGATACTTGCTTTTCCTCATTCAAATCTGTGGGCAGAAGTTGAATCAGAAATTTTCTTAAGCATCTTGAGATTTTTGCTATCTTACAATGAGAACCCATCCCAGAACAATTTACATGTATTTGTTTCTTATGTAACATGCTTTAAAAAACAACAAAAGAGTGGATACTGGTTTTCTCAAGTAGTCTTTTTGAAAGTCATTTTGAGGTGATAATCTGTTTTTGTTTTGTTTTTAAATCTGCTCTTTTAAGCCATGCTTTTTCTTGGTTTATTTCAGTGATCAAAGTCAGTGCATATCAGAAGTCAGGAAAAATTTATTTAATGAACAAAAACATTAAAAAGTTTTTCTGTGTTTAGTTAAAGAGCTTACTTTTAACAGTCATGATGCATAAATTGCCAGGCATTAGGCTATTGAGRAAAACTGTTATCCACTATTTTTATGATAAATTAAAATGCTCAATTAAACTGATTTGTCTCCTTAGGTCAGTGGTTGTTCATGGATTTACCCTTGGAGAAAAGGGAGAAAAGATGTCCAAGTCTCTTGGGAATGTTATTGATCCTGATGTTGTCATCAATGGAGGACAAGTAAGTGTTTCMTTAAAATATATTTTATTTTTGTTTTAAGGCTCTTAAATTATTGGTCCAAGTCCTTAAGAGTGGGCACTCCAGGGCCAGGTTGTTTTTAAATTTCAATGTAAAAAACAAACAACAGCAAAAAAAAAAAAAAAAACTTTTAAATATGGTCACTTCAGTATAAAAAGAAAATTTAAAAAGAAACAACAAAAACCCAGGATGTGATGGGTATGTTGGTACACTCCTGTAGCCTGCAGTCCTGTCACTGAAGGAGCAGTAGGAGGAGTACTCGAGTCCGGGAATTTGAGGCCATCTGCAACATTACAACTCTCCATCTCTTAAAAAAAAATAGATGATGTCTGACCATGTTGTAAATCTAAAATCTTAAGTAATACATGATTTTAATGAAAAAAGAAAGAGCTGGAACTATGTTCCTTTTGACACATTTCAGGTCTGAATCTCCAGTGTTAGGTCCTGAGTAATATTATTCCTTTTATCACTTGAGCTTATAGTATGTGTAAACTGTTATTTTATAATTAAGTGGAAATCAGAAGGACAAAAAGATCACAACTTCTCAACTCACATTACATTTATTCTTAGAAGTTATATACCTTAACTTTACAGCAAGGATGTACGTTAGGTCTGGGGTTGCTGATAATTTGGGGATTTTTTTAGAGTTGCTTTCTTAATAGAAAACTCTTATCTGTTGTCTTGCTCCTGTGGCTTTTTACTGCCATCCCTACATTCATTGCTTTATGTACAGAGTTCCTAGGGAATAGTGAAAGGGAAAGCACCCTTTCCTCTTTCCTTCCCCATCAAGGACCACCCCACTGCCCACACTGCTTTGTGCCTACTATTGTAGATGATTGGGAGTACACTAGGTATTCCCAGCTATGCATTGAACAAGACCACAGAGTACTATCTCCTCTTTTCTATTTTTAATTATTTATTGAGTACTTGATTGGTACAGGGGATTGAACCTAGGTGTGCTCTACTACTCTCCAGCTCTTTTTTAAAAAAATATTATTATTTTGAGATAGAGCCTCACCAGATTGTTTAGGCTGGTCTTGAGTTTGTGATCCTCCTGCCTCAGCCTCCCAGGCTACTAAGGTTACAGTAACCACTATGGCTGGCTTTGTTGTTTTTAGATGTAGTCTGATTAGAAATTGTTAGCTTGTATTTCATTTCAGTGCTGGTATACTTTATACTTATATTGTGCTCAAACATGGTTCTGAATAAGAGTTTTATGTAAAGCATTTATTCAGCTAATAGGAATTGAAAGCCATTCTGATTGTATCTTTTCTCAATGAAAAGGATCAAAGCAAAGAGCCTCCCTATGGTGCTGATGTTCTTCGCTGGTGGGTGGCTGAGTCCAATGTCTTCACTGAAGTGACAATTGGTCCATCTGCTCTCAATGCTGCTAGAGATGATATTAACAAGGTYAGAGTCGTTATTCTTCCTATTTCTGAATGAAAACTTAACTAAATCATTGTAAAGAATGAGGCACTTTTTTTTGACATTGCAGAACTGAATAAAAATGGTTCACATGTTCCACGCATTTTAAAATACCCTGTGTTAATTTATTTAAAAACAATAATAGTAATGTTAAAAATTTTACATATAAGGTCTTTTTATACTTTGTTAATTTACTCTGTGAAAAAGCATAATCTGATATAAATTTTATTTTGTATACTGTTCATATATTTAATGACTTTTCACATTTATTTTATTTATCTTCATCTTTACCTGTGAATTAGGTAAAAAAACATGTGCTCACTTTTACGTGTGAATAAACTATGGTATTAAAAGTTGATTTTCTCTAAAGATGTAAAAATAAAAATTTAGTCATTAGGCATAAAATCCTATGATTGTTTCTGTAACTGGGCTATTGGAATGAGATTTTGTACATTCATAGCCTTTTTTAGGAATGATATAATTTTTTAAAATTTTCCCTTAAAGGAAGTGTCAAAGTTGTATGCAAATTATAGATTTATAAAATGATTTTTTGGTGAAAATGAAGGGTTCATAATTTTTTTTAACTGTGTACATTTTCTCATTATGAATAGCTTAGGAATACACTTCGCTTTCTTTTGGGAAACGTGGCTGGCTTCAACCCCAAAACGGATTCTGTCCCTGTCAACCAAATGTATGTCATAGACCAGTATATGCTGCATTTACTGCAGGATTTAGCAAGCAAGGTAAGTGTTAATTAATAAGATTTTTGGGAAATGGAAATTTTAGGACTATTGTGTGTTAAAAAATTGTTTTCATTTAAGTGGAAGAAACCTTGCYAGAAATAGTAACGAGAGCCTCTTGAGAAAAGCTATACTTGCTGAATCCTATACATTCCTAGATGCCTATAGATATGAGGTATTCTAATATCTTTTCCTGGAGTCTTAAAAGACTTCAGAGTACCTGGTGGAAACAGTAGGCAGGTCCAGGCTTCCCTRTAGACCAGACTTCTCTCAAGAGGAAAAGATCAGCTCTGTTTCTCCARCAAGAAGGAAGAGAGTTATATATTATCTGGAGGTAGGCACCTCATCGTACTGGACAGAAATAACTGARGTGACTACTCTTATGTCCCCTAAGACATTTGCTCATTTACACACATGCACACACATACACAAATAATTTATTTTCTTAAAATTGGAATTTATATGCTTCAATGTGCCCCAAGTCAGAGGCACACACACCAGCTTTTTTGCTCAAACCAAAAATAATTGAAACATAAATGAGGGAACATTAACTAACTATGGTGCTGATGTTCTTCTRTTTTATGCTATTTTTAAAAAATGTCATGATTTTATCACTTAAAACTTGAGGGCTAGCTGGGCACCACGGCGCATGCCTGTAATCCCAGCCACTCAGGAGACTGAGACAGGAGGATTACAAGTTCAAACCAGTCTCAGCAATGGTGAGGTGCTACGMAATTTAGTGAGATCCTGTCTCTAAATAAAATGCAAAATAGGGCTGGAGATGTGGCTCAGTGATTGAGTGCCCCTGAATTCAATCCTCAGTACCAAAAACAAAAAACAAAAAAACTTGAGGGCTGATAGGGTGCTTGCCTAACAGGTTGCTAGGTTTGATCCCCTGCACCACAAAAAATAAATAAATAAAGGAAAACCTTGATCCTGGTGGGGTTTGTTTTGTTTTGTTTTTGGTACCAGAGAATGAACTTAACCACTGAGCCACATCCCCAGTTCTTTTTTGTATTTTATTTAGAGACAGGGTCTCACTGAGTTGCTTAGGGCCTCATTAAGTTGCTGAGGCTGGATTTGAACTTGGGATTCTCCTACCTCAGCCTTCCCAGCTGCTGGGATTACAGGTGTGTGCCACTGTGCCTGTTCTTGAGGAGTATTATTTTGTAGTTTCCAGAGTAGAACAGTGGGTATTTTCTAAGTGTAATCAAATTTGTTGTCCAAAAAGGATGTTTGGAAGATTATCAGGAGTTCTTGCTTTATTGTCTGTTTTTTGTCTACCTTTAAGGCATATTTTTGAAGGAACGTATTTTGCTTATAATGACTTCCATTTTCGCTTGTTACCCCAGCTTCTGAATTTATTTTGACTTTGTCCTCTAGATTAACGACTCATACAAACAATATGATTTTGGAAAAGTTGTTCGACTATTAAAAGCATTTTATACTAGAGAACTCTCCAACTTTTATTTCAGTATAATCAAGGAGAGGTATGTATGACACAATATGAAAACACTCAACAGATGTTTCTTGAGTGCCTGTTCTGTGCTTGGCAAATGTGGGAATACAGTGATGATTGAGATGGGCAACATTGTGCAGTTATGGGGATTGGGTTCTAGAGTTAAGCCTGATTATCAGTTTGTGCCTTGCCACTTACGCACTTTATGATTTGGGGAAGCCTGTAGGATGATCTCAATTCATCTATAAAAAGGGGATGGTATTTCCTTACCTCCTACTGTGGTTATAAGGATGAAATATGGGTAATGTGGTTAGTGCTGTGATTGATAAAGTAGATGTTCATTAAATGATTGGTGCTTACATAAGTTAGTGCTTGTTCTCAGACTTGCAAATCATGAGTATGGAGAGAGACAAATATAGGAGCAATTATATACTAACATTGTACAATGTCAGTGGCACCCTTTCAGAGGAGGGCTTGATGCTRAGCTTTCATTTATGGATCTGATGTGCAAGTGGAGGCGTTATCTTTAGTATCTAGTCCAGTATGAGGTACCAGCCCCAATCAGCACCTCAGCACTTTCTACATAGGGAAAATAACTCGTACATTGCAGGGGGTGGGGAGTAACATTTTAAATACCAATAGCTAACTGAYTGTCTTTTAACACAATAGTTTAGATTCTAGCTGTCTTCTACCTGAAAACCAGAATTGATCAGAGCATGGRTGATTTTGTTAAGTTGGTACATCTGGAAAGTGAAAAGTGGAATAGATAACAAGTTATCAAAAATTATATGAAAACAGTCTTTGATTATAAGATGACTAGAGCCACGAGATCAGCTACTGTAGGAATAAACTCAACCTGAGGCAGGTAGATCCTGTCTTGGTGATCATAATGTATAAATTGGTGTCAGTTGCCAAGTAAGTTATCCTCCTTYAGGCTTTATTGTGAAAATGAAAACGATCCCAAACGACGCTCTTGTCAGACTGTATTAGATGAAATTCTGGATGTGATGGTTCGTTCTTTTGCTCCTATTCTTCCTCACTTGGCTGAAGAGGTCTTCCAGCACATACCATACCTTAAAGGTAAGCAGCACTTAATTTGCTCACCAAATGAGAAAGTGAGGGTGCAACTTCTGATTTTATCTCCTCCCTATAAGGGCCCTCACTCACTCTTYTATAGTGATACTTTGTGACATGATGTGTCTTGGTCATGTAGTAGTTTCTGYACCTGTTTCCAGAGGAGTAGGATGATTTCAGAATGGCCTTTGAGAAATCATTCTTTCTTAAGTTTGTTCATAAATGTTCCATAATATATGTTAAGTTTTATTAAAATGTAATGCCTTTTAGTGAATACTTTTATGGTAGTTCTTTTCTTCTGAATGTAGTAAGCTTAATTAAGAGAGCAATTACAGGCAACAGTTGACCACTCCAACAATGAGATGATAAGAGAGGAAATACAGGTAGCAAAAGATTATTTCAAGAAAGAGTTAGAGACTCTCAGGGAAAAAAAAAAAAAACCAAACAAACAGAAAGTGAAATGAAGGAATTAATAAACCAAATAAAAAAATCAGTAGAAAGCATCACCAACAGACTAGATCACTTGAAGACAGAATCTCAGGCAATTAAGACAAAATATATAATGTTGAAAATGAAGTTGGTCACACAGTGAAGATGGTGAGAATCCATTAACAGAACTGCCAAGAATAATGGGATAACATGAAAAGACCAAATCTAAGAATTATTGGGATGGAGGAAGGCACAGAGATACAAGCCAATGACATAATATCAGAAAATTTCTCAAACATGAAGAATGAATTGGAAAATCAAATACAGAGGCTTACAGGACACCAAATGTTTAAAGTTACAACAGATTCTCATGAAGTAGCATACAGAATAAGGATAGAATTTTAAAAAGAGAAAAGTTTCAGATTATGTATAGGAGGAAACCAATTCAGATGTCAGCAGATTTCTCAACCCAGACCATCAAAGCTGGGAGATCCTGGAACAATAAATACCAAGCCCTGAAATAAAATGAATGCCAACCAAGAATTTTATATCCAGCAAAATTAAGCTCAAGATTAGATGATGAAATAAAAATTAAGCTCAAGATTAGATGATGAAATAAAAACCTTCCATGGTAAACATAAATTAAAAGAATTTACAATGAGAAAGCCTACACTACAGAATATTCTTGACAAAGTACTCTATGAGGAGGAAATGAAAAACAACATTGAAAATCAGCAAAGGGAAGAACTATACTCAAGGAAAAACCTGTCAAAGAAAAAACCAAGTCTAGTTGAAAACCAAAAATAAAAAAAATGACTGGGAATACAAACCATGTCTCAATAATAACCCTGAATGTTATTGGCCTAAACTCATCAATTAAAAGACATAGAGGGGCAGATTGGATTAAAAAATATCCAGCAATATACAGCCTTCAAGAGACTMATCTCATAGAAAAAGATATCCACAGACTGAAGGTGAAAGGATGGGAAAGAACATATCACTCACATGGGCCACATAAACAAGCCGGGTTTCCATCCTCATATCAGATAAAGTAGAATTCAAGCCAGAGTTAGTCAGAAGAGATAAAGAAGGACATTTCATACTACTTAAGGGAAAAGAAACATGCAACAATCATAAATACCTATGCCCCAAACAATGGAGCATCTAAGTATATCAAACAAACCCTTCTTAATTTCAAGAAAATTAGAAACTGTTTAGAGAGGGAAAAGCCATTCATAATCTTATAGTCATAGATGAGCTATTAATATTGGGATTTTTCTCTCTTATTTTTTCTAAGCATCCTTTTTTTGAGATCTTCCTCTATAGCTTATCTTTTGATTAAATGTAACATATTTCCCATTGCTGATACGAATGTTTTGAAAATAGGTTGGCTCCATATTTTATTATATATACCRTAAATAACAATTCTTATTTCCCACTAATTGGTAAATATTTAATGGTTAGGGCTTTATGAACACTTTAGGATATATGTAAGTCAGTTTACCATCTCTCTCTCTTTTTTTTGAAGAACCCAGGAGTGTTTTTCGCACAGGATGGATCAGCACAAGCTCTATCTGGAAGAAGCCTGGGCTGGTAGAGGCAGTGGAGAGCGCCTGTGCAATGAGAGATTCATTTCTTGGAAGCATCCCTGGCAAAAATCCTGCCGAGTATGAGGTTATCATTGTGATAGAGCCAGGCCTGCTTTTTGAAATAATAGAGGTATGCAACAGGTTGAAATGTTCTTAATATTGTACATCTTCACCTGCAGTTTGTTTTAAAAGTCTAGGGAAAGTTTTTTGCTAATTTAGATATTATGATTTTAGTCTTCTAATCCTGATCTTATCACTGATTCTGTTTTCTGTATCTGTGTCCTTTCCTTTATCATCTAAAATTATATACTCTGTACCTGTAACATGTGCATATCACTTTACAGGGACAGGGAAGGTCTTTTAAAGTTATTTGAAATGAAAACCCTAAGGGCTGATATATAAATCTGTGACCGTAGTGTTAGAATACATAAAAAATTGGGAATTTTGTTATAAGGGCCTGTTTTTTTGAATTTTGTCCATCTGGACTAGATTCAAAACAAATCCAAACATGAGTTTCCAATGAACATCTGGAACATTTGTTCCAGCACATTATCTTGTACATCTCAAAGTATTAATTCTATTTTTATTTCCAGAAGGGCCTTGGGATTTGTAGGAGTTGATTGTCCTGATTAGCGATATATTAAGTCTAACACATTGACTTGAGATTTTTCTCTAGTCTTAATGCTTGAGAATTGGTAATGAATATATATATATAAGATTTTATTGGTAGTAGTTTTCTAAAAAAAGAAGAAGAAAATCTCTTTGGTTGGTAAGCTTAATTTAAAAATATAAATGTAATTCAAGTGATTAAGAATTTAGCCTTAAAATAGCTAGTAGGGTATGAAATTGTTAGTAACAAAGAATAAGGATAAGATGTTCATATGTTTAAAAGTTCCTAAGTCCTGACTGCTTCATTGTACACAAAAGGAAACTAAGAATCTAGTCAAGTTTGCACAGCCTAGTTCTGGGCTTTTTCCCCCCTGTATACTGTTTCCTTTGACTTCAGTTCTTGCAATAAGTTGAAAAGAATAAAATTTGTTTGGGATCATTTATACTTGGAAAAAAAATGCTTTGGGATTTTCAAAAACATAAAATTGTTTTAGGAATCACACCAAGTAGCTATCAAATGGCATGCTGTTTTTTTCAGTTACTAATTTCATGAACTTGTTAAAACCAAATTTTGAGTTTCCTGTTTTCTTATGAACATTTTTTAAAGGAATATTTATATTAGCTCACAAATTCATTTTGAAGATCAGAGTTACAGTGAAAAATGTAAAAATGTTGATTAGACAGCCAAATTCAGTGTACTTCAAGGGGTTCTATGTGTTATCCAGATTGCCATCATTAGTATATATTGCTAAAAGCACTTTTGTGTAGATACTAACTGAACCCCTCTTCCAGTATAAGAAACAGGATACAGGCAAAACATCATGGTCCTTAAGGCTCACAAGACCTGGGCTTGAGCTATACCACATAATGATTGAGAAATTTGAGCAAATTAACCTCCTTTGCCCGTTTCCTCATTTATGAAATGGGGCTAGTAAACACCATATAGGTTTATACACACACACACACACACACACACACACATATACACATATATAGCTGTTAGTGAACCTTTATTTATATGCAGTGCTAAGAATCAAACCCAGTGCCTCACACATGCGAGGCAGTTACTCTACCACTGAGCCACAATCCCAGCCCTACCACATATGTTTTGTTGTTGTTGTTTTTCTGTGTGTGAGACACTGAGGTTCTTGGAAAATGAAGCAAAAGCACAATGTTCTCAATACTGTTGATAAAAATTTCAATTAAATCCTTTCATGCCAGTAAGAAGTGATGTATTTAATAGTATTAGCTCAGGGTGTAATGGTATGCCTCTCTGTCCCCAAGAACTTATGGCATCTGTTTTTATAACCTCAGTTCATGCTAAAAATTTAGCAGTAACTTTCACATGCTTACTTCCAGATGCTGCAAGCTGAGGAGACCTCCAGTACCTCTCAGTTGAATGAGCTAATGATGGCTTCCCAGTCAACTTTACTGGCTCAGGAACCACGAGAGAGAACTGCAGATGTAATTGAGCTTAAAGGGACATTCCTAATCAATTTAGAAGGTAAGGAGGTGAGAGTAGCAAGTGGCATCTTGAAAAATGACTAATTATAAATTATAGGTCATCTTCAACTCTACAGTGGACTAGACTTTTCTAAAAGCAGATAAATGCCTGGAATACATTTCTCTGGAAATGATATAAACATTTGCCACATACCTAAGCCAACACTCAAATATTCTACCTGATCTTGAGAAGTGAAGGCTAGGGATAGAGGACAAGAGATTTACTTCTCTTTTAACTTTTATTGTGCAGTTACTCTAACTTGCTTCCTTTTCCTTTAATACATAGTACCATACTACTGCTCACCCTTCCCCAGTGTTGATTCAAATTTCCTCTTCTGTGTGCCCCAAATTAATATTTAGCCATTCTTTTTTTGAGATGGGGTTTTGCTAAATTGCCCAGACTGGCCTTGAACTTGTAATCCTCCTGCCTCAGCCTTCTGAGTAGCTGGAATTATAGGCCTGTGTCATTGCTGTTTAGCCATTATTTTTGTGTGTGTGTGGTGCTGGGCTTGAACCCATGGACTTATGCATGTGAGGCAAGCACTCTACCAACTGAGCTATACCCCCAGCCCTTAGCCATTCTTAATAAGGTTTAACGTTTTATTAAACTCATTCTTACACAAGCATCTCAAGCAGTTTGTAGATATTTGTTTCATAGGCATTTTTGTGTCAACCTGGTTCACCTTGATTAATGGAAATGGAGGTAGAGTGGCATTAACAAAGAATAACAAATGGATATTTTAGGAAAGGTAATGCTGCTTGTGTTTTTTGTAATAGCTTTTARGTACCAGCAGGAGATGGAAGGCTAATCTATAGATGTTGGTTCAAATTTGAGGCTTGGCAGCAATGTGCATGTAGTAAAAATTGTGACTCAATTTGTTTTTCAAAATGTTAAGGTACATTCTTTGCACAGCAATTAGAAAATAATTTATTTTTTTGATCAGTCTGAGGTCTTAATAGTAGAGATAAGTTTTCTCTTTGTCTAAGCCAAAAAATTTGGAGGCACTACAGTTGTCACTATAATATTGCTTTAAAAATCCTCAGTGCCCATGTTGAAATGGAGATGCAGTGTTACTGATCAGAATCCTATCAGGATTAAGAGCTAGAAAGCCTGTTCTGCCTGAGTAGGGAGAGAACTCAGTTCCCACAGACACGCAKATTCCTTAGTTCTCTATAGTCATCAAGTTGTGTGATCCCATCATCTTGGTATTTATATAATGGGGCAAAACCTGACCAGCTATTACTTAGGATAAGAGTAAGCTTTGGAAAAATTGTGCTTGCTAAACCAAATGGGAAATAGTTACACAAGTTGAATGTCAGAAATACTTTTCATATTTTCTTTTTTATAGGTGGTGATATCCGGGAAGAGTCTTCATATAAAGTAATTGTCATGCCAACTACCAAAGAAAAGTGTCCTCGTTGTTGGAAGTACACAGCAGAATCTTCTGATACACTCTGTCCCCGATGTGCAGAAGTTGTTGGTGGAAAGTAGTGCTGTGACATCACTAGCTGAGCAAGAATCCTTATGATAGTACTGAGAGTTTACATGAATTATTTACAATACTGCAAAGAAATCTGAGGAGTAAATGGTGAAGGATGAGTGTCAAAATCAGAATTGTGAATAGTATTTCCTGTAACTAAAGAATAATRTATATATACATGTGGAAATACAATTGCATATATTGCATATATTTGTACACACATATACATAATGGACTTACACTTGCCTTCAAACATGGCTGAGCAGAATGTTTTATATTTTATGAAAATCTTTTTGACTCGGTATTTAAGTTCTATGATGTCTGAAAATAAAGGCATTCTGGAAAACTATTGACTAATGTTGGTGCGAAATTGTGAATATCAAATGACAAAATGTGGTTTTGAAAGGGATCAGCAGAGGTGTATTTCCCTTAAGAGTTAAAAAGCATCATTCTGTCCACTACCAAAAATGGGAGTTTTTAAAAATGGCTTGCTTTTTGATTTGGATTGGAAAGAAAAACATCACTAAGTTTATTATTCAAGAAGGGACAAAATGTCTTAATACCAACAAACAAACAAACCAAAACTTACATTTATGAATGTTAAGAAAACAACTTGAAAGCGGAGGATTTATTTCATTAATATACACAAGTTCACAATAATGAATACAGAAAAACAGCAGTATATACAGAAKTTCACTACTTACATTACACTAGATAAATAAGAGCATTTTATAAACAATCCAGTATTGGATTAAAGTCTAAGGATGGCTAATCTATTGAGCAGAAGTCTAAAGAGCCCAGCAAACCCATTCTTGTTACGGTGAGAGGGGGCTTTTACTGTTGCTATAGTGTACTGTAAAAATATCTTCTTTTACAAATGAAATGGACCACAGCAACTTCTAGGTGAATGTTATATTAGTGTAATCTTAGGATTATAGAATGTTTTCTATTATTTTAAGTTGTAATTGATTTTTTTAAAAAAGCAATGTAAATGTTAGTGTTTGCTTTGACCTTAGATGAATTTTTATAACAAGGGTGAAACTTCTTTCTGTAAAAGTATGACACATTTTGTACCCCTTTATCTACATATATCCTGGCCTCTCTAGTTCTACATCTAAAAACACAATCTGTAATATAGAAGTTATGATTTTTGAACACCTGTGTTCTCTTTAATATTATATAATAGAATTAATTTAACAAGGTAAAAAAATGTGCATGTAATAAGGAAAAGTGGAGGGGTATATCTAGGAGGACACTACCAGTTATTGGCTTACCAGTAATTACAGTGATGGTCACCAAACCTTTGTTTTTAGTTAATCACCCATTCTACATAAAATCTCATTCCTCTTTTTGTTGTTACAGAATGTATACATAGGTACTTATTTTTCTTTATTATCAGATTTATTTTAAAAGCCCTTAATTAAGTAGTAAAATATTTAACTGCTTTTAACCATAAAACTAAATTTGAAAAATCTACGAATTTTAAATTTTCAGATGATAAATCTAATTAGAAACTCAGTGATTTGTGTTAAGGTTCTGTGAGCCATATTTCAGCTGCTGCTTCTCAGCAAGTCTCATACTTGATATGTAACCTCAGTACCCCTCCAAAAAGTGATAATGGAATTGAGAGGATTTCAATTTTTAAAATGCCTTTAACTCCAAGTTTCTTTAACCAAACTTCTAAATTCATATTACTCTCTAAGTATTTCCAAAAAATCTCAGGAAAAACTAATGTTGTAGAATACATGTTACAGGTGATTATATAAAGCTAGATGTATTCATAGGAATCCTAGAATGTGGCTACCTGGGGTGTGGAGATCCAAGCAGAGGCTGAGAGGCTGGACTAGCTTCAGGCCCTCTCCAGTGCTGTTACCCTGTACAACATGCACCTCGGCTCACAAGACACGCCCCAAACTTCACATCGTAAAGCACTTTTAAGATCTGAAAATTGATAGTCACTTAAACCATTATTTTTAATCTAGTTAAGTTCTTATTTGGATGTGATCCTTAGTGGAAAAATAATTCACACTAGAATATTCTCAAAACACCAGATCTTTTTTTCTTTATATCCCTGAAGGCCATTCTTCTCAACTTTGCACAATGCTAGAGTTGGCTTCTTACAAGGGAGTGAAGAAATAAACTTTTGGACACAATGAGTCACTATGAATAACAACTGTTGTCCATGACAGATATCAACAATTGTACTATAAGGCTACATTCCAAAGACATACCATAATAAATTCTTGGTATCTGTAGAGCTCAAAGCACTTTTTACAGACTTTTGGTTAGTTTGGTCTTAATTAGTAAATATTTATTTASCACTTGGACTGCTCTAGGCACTATAGGGTACAAAATTCACTGTATTTTATCCTCTCAACCCATCTGTGAGGTAGGTTTGCTAAAGCTGTAATATCACTATGCATTTTTTTTTCTGTAATGTTCCCAAGGACAGATAACATTACCAAATCCCAGAAGCAGATATTTCTAAACACTTGTAGGAAAAATAAAGTTGGACTTAAAATTTTTAGTATCCTCCCCTCTTTATATATATATATATATATATATGTTTTACAAGATAATACATTTTTTACAATTACCTGATGTGGATACAACTTTGCAACTTGGCAAAAAGCAAATCTTAATTTACATTGTAACTGATTTTGTTGCATTGTTAGAATTTCAGATTATCGATTTTGGCAATTACAACAGGTTAAGGGTTCTATCCAGGGTCCCTACTGATGATCCTGAACCCATCCATTCTTCCTCCTCTGATGGTATCAGCAGCACCTTTGGGAAAGGAACCTGTCAGCACCCAGAACTCCCAGGTGCAGCTACTATGGGATTAAGCATGATAAGGAACATATTTCCTAAACATTTCATAAGGGAAAGTGGGAGCTTTCTCTAAGTTTGCTGATGGGGAGTATACATGAACACATTTAATCACAATAACTTTTTAGGTATGAAATATAGAATCTTATTAATAATAAGAACATAATCTGTAAATTAAAACCAATTTTAAATAGCAAAGTTTAACAATAAAGCTACTTACGCGTTTGAATTAAAAATAAACAGTAAAACATCTGTATTACTATAATATTTGTATTTTATCTTCAGTATTAACCAAAGAAGTGGGATTTAACCAGGATTGCACTTTTTAAAAGTAATATATATTTTTATTTATTTTACCAAAAAACCCCCAACATATTCCATAAAATTTCAGATCTTACTATGTAAAATAACCATGCAGTAATTCATGTTATAGTCACACAATTTTAGACTACTTTCAGTAGATAAGTGTCACAAAGAAGGAATGGATATGGCTTCCACAGCTTCAATGAGGTGTAAGGCTAGACTATACTGCCCGTGTTTTTCTGGTAAAAGCTCAATTACTTTATTTACTAGTTTAGCTGTTGTTGCAATTGGCACTTCAGTGTTTTGAAGATCCTGGGGGTTCTGTAAATGGGACAAAAATATAATCCATTAGTTATATGCAATCAAAAAATAACTGATATAAACTTAAGAATTAAAGAATTTTTTTCCTAATAAAAATACTTTTTGTTTGGAACTAGGTGAATTAAACATGTAATTTAAATTTTCTTCATAAATTCTACTAAACATTCATCTAGTAAAATACCCAATGATCTTCTTTCTGCCTAATTTCCTTTGTTGTACTTACCATTGCCTTCAGCCAAGTGCAGAGTGTGGGTGGCAATCTGGCCAGCAGCTCCATCCCTTCTTTTGTCTGGGTGTGGAGAAGAGCATAAGCCAGCCTTTGCCCTGTCAACACTAGCAGCTGAGAGGCGAGGACCTCTTTATCATGAACCTGTAGAATGGCCTGAGAATGTGGACATGGAGAAATAATGTAGTAAGAGCTAACCAATTTATTTTTTGTAGAAAAGGWGGCTGTGGATGAAGAAATAGATCCTAGTTTGTTTTTGAGCTTGTGTATGTAATCAAAGTATAATATAAATCAAACAGCATTTAACTCCAAGTTGGTGACCGGCTCATTTTTTTCCCTCACCACCTTCCCCACTCCTCGTTTTTGACAGTCCTAGGGCTCAAACCCAAGTTCTAGCAAACCCAAGTGTGCTAGGCAAGTTCTACCCCTGAGCTACTTCCTTAGCCCCTCATCACCTAGTTTCAATTCAGCATGACTACATAAGGTCTTGTTTCCAACCACTTGGCAAAGGAAGGGAATTACATTAGATCATATCATGACTACTTACAACCTTCAATGACTTTTGAATGTTCTGAGAATAATAATGGGTTAGGATACTGACTGTGATTGGCCCCTGCCAACATCCCCTCCTCATTTCATACATTTTTGCTCCTTGCTTACTAAGTCTGGCAGCCACACTGGCCCTTTTGGTCCTGGCCATGCTGGTTCCAATCTCAGGGCCTTACACATTTGCTACTCTTGTCTTAAGCACTGTTACCCCAGGTTTTTAAATGACTGATTGCTTTATATCCTTTGGACTTCAGTCTGAATTTCATTTTCTCTGACCCCCACACTCTACTGTAGTAGTCCATATGTATTCATATGATGCTTTTTATTTTTCTTATAGCACTCCTCAYTCAATACAAAAATTAGGAGCTTTTCTGAATGTCCAGCAAACATTGATTCCATGCAGAAAGAGCCTTGGATCCTTTGCTCATTGCTGTACTTACACACAGAACAGGCCTAGCATACTATAGGAATTTATTTGATTATAGTTTTATATTTTAATATTCTATTCTATTTTTGTACCTAAAAGTTCCAACAAAAGGAAGAACAAAAAGCTGTATTGGAGAGCTGGGGTTATGGCTCCGTGGAAGAGCACTTGCCTAGGATGTGTGAGGTACTGGGTTTGATTCTCAGCACCACATAGAAATATATAAATAAAACAAAAGTATTGTGTCCATCTACAACTAAAAAAAAAAAAGCTTTATTAGAAATTCTACTGATTTGTTATTCCAATTAACAATTTATAACTTGAGCCCAGTTAGCCTTCATGGCGTCATAATTACCTCTTCTGCTAAGTGGTCAACTCCATAGTTGTAGAGCTCCCCTACATAATGCCTCCTAACAACATCTTCACTAACTTGAAGGTGATGGGCTAGATCCACGGCTAGAACTGGCCAATCTTGATCCTTCCCAGGAATGTCTGCTGCCTCTTCTGAGGGATCTCTCTCCTTTGTCACTGAATGCTGGGACTGGACAGCTGCACTGACAACTTTCAGTAAGAACTTGAAAATGGAGAAGGAGATAGAGCAGTGTCTTGTTAGCATGATTAATTCAAAAAGACCTAAATCAAGGAAATTATTAACTTTTTTATCAACTAAGAGTGGCTCTTCCATTACCAAAAAAGG